CAACCTGCTTCAATACACCCCCTTCAGCACTGCAGAGGTATGATGTCAATATACATGCATATTACCTATAACATACATTTACACTGATCAGTCACAACATCAAAACCACTGAAGTGATATGCTGCTGAAGTAATAAATAATGATTATATTGATTTAATGGCACATTAGCCCACTTCACATATGCAGACTTAACCTGCAAATGGACTACTGTATATGGACTTTTAATTTTAAATAAGCTAGCTCTAGCTCAGGTGCATCCAGGGAACTGTCATGCCATATAAACAAACCGCATTGAAGATCTGGTTTATTTACAATAAATGATCTTCACCACCTAATAGTGATTTAAAATACTGTAAAGTGGGTCTCGCACCTTACAAGCAGCACTGTATTAAATCGCATTGCTCTGTGCCATGTCTTTAAAATATGCAAATGCAGTTTATGACAGTATTTTGAATGGCTTTTCTGCTCTAGACTGGTTCTTCCACTGCGCTTCCACTTAGATCAGAGATCCCCAAAGTAGGGCCTGTGGATCAAAGTTTGGTTTGGCCCGTCATCCCATCAGAAAAGAGAGGGAGAATGATGGGGAGTTGGTGGTAAATGCCTTCGACAGATCATTATTTAGAATTTAATGTAAACCCTTTTGTTTTGTTGTTTAATTGAGGAGCTGCAAAAAAAGAGCCAACTAAAATTCAATGTTTCATATGAATCAGACTTTTAAAATGTAAATACTGTCACTTGACAGATAGAGGAAAATCCACAAGACAAATCAAGCAAATCAAGGCAAAGGCAGGAGCAGCTCGACAAGTGTATTCAGTATTAAGCGTCATTGTGTTATAAACAGGATAGTTAATGTTTTTACTTTACTAAGTTGTTAAACATTATACAGCATCATCATTTAATACGTTTTAAAGCATCTTTTTCTAGTTATTTTTAAATAATCAGCAAACAAATTAGCATATTTAATGTAATACTGTTTGATATTTAACCCACAGCCCTCAATCAAGTTAGGTTTTTGGCTCTTTATAAGAAAACAGTTTGGGCACCCCTGGTTCAGACAGTCTTTCAACTCCATAATGCTTAAAGTATTTGGATTAAATTGCATTATCAATGCTCTAAAAGGAAGCCAATGCCCCTTTCACTAGATGTTTATCAGTGGCTGAAAAACACTAAATCAATTCCAGCCTAAGGATTCTCTTATGGAAATCTGGTTATTGTGCATGGGGTGACCCTGGACCCAAGCAACAAAGCAAATTGCTTTTACACTCACAACACACCAGTTAAAGATGTAAAAAGAGACAAAACCAACTGACAGTATGGGGATTATTGCCATCTGTAATCCATGAGGACTGATGGGAGGGAATTTGGCTAGTACAATCAGATTACACTTCCTATTCCCAAGTACCATGGGATTTATGACCGCACCGAATCAGGGCCTACAGTTTAACCTCACATACTGCACTTCTTTAGCTTCTGCGTTGAATGAACACCATGGCCTATGCAAGTTCCCAAAGCCATCATAAGCATTTATACTTCTGCGTTCTGCCTGTGTTCCTCTGCTTTCCAAGACAATATGTGGTGGTGGGATTTATATCTACCACTATGTTGAGTTTCTCTACCAGCAAGAACTGGTGAAATTCAACAGCTTTAAATTTTAAAATAAACACAAAAGTATTCATCTGAAGCTCTGGTGTGGCATACAGGTGACACTCTCTGCCTACACTTGTCACAACTACCAAGCTGACCAATCATAGATTTAGTGTTCTGTCGCCTTTGATCTATAGCAGGGGTGTCGAAACACAGTCCTGATGGGCCGGTGTCAAGCTAAGTTTAGTTCCAACCCCAACCAGACATAACTGGGCAAGCTAATCATGTTCTTACTTGGCTTTCTAAAACAGAGGTGCTCAAACCTGTACCTGGAAGTCTTCCTTCCTGCAGATTTGAGTTGCAACCCTCACCAAACCCTCCTGCCTGTAATTATCAAGTCCTGTTCAGTTCTAATTGATTGGTTCAGGTGTATTTTATGAGGGTTGGAGCTGAACTCTGTAGGAAGGTAGATCTCTTGGAACAGGGTTGAGCACCCTTAATCTTGAAACATCCATGCAGGTCTGTTGAGGCAAGTTGGAGCTAAAATCTGCAGGACACCAGGACTAAGTTTGGATATTCCTGATGTATATGAACCACACAGACACATGCAGTATAAGCACTCTGTGTTTGCCAAACACCACTTCCAACAGCAAACTGTTTCCAAGAGGTCTCCCATCCAGGTACAGACCAAGCTCAACTCTGCTTAGCTTTGGTGGGCAACCGTTCTTGAACTGTTGGACGATAAGACTGTGGGTGGACCATGGAGAAATGGAATAATGTTGCCTTGTCTTATGAATCATCTTTTCTTTTAGATGAATGGAATGTCCAGAGGAGTCTGTTTATGTTTTACTTTGAAAGAGATAACAGCAAGACATGCTATGCCAAGACTGAGGTAAGCAAAATAATCTTATCACAAATTGAAAAACAAGATTATTTTGCTTACCCCATTGGCGGATTATTTTGCTTGATTTAAGAAAAAACTCGCTTCATTTTGGCATATTATTTCTTAAAACAAGACAATATGTTTTGATCGTCAATAAAATGCTTCTTGATTTAAGAATTTGTTCATATTTGGACTAGAAACAAGACTAAGTAAGAAAAGCATTTTTTTTGCAGTGTAGTATGATAGTGTAAGTATTTAATGTTTTGTATGACTAATTAAATTTCCACAGGGTGTTTTTAAAGGATCTGGAAAGATACTGAAACAAAATGGCCTTTTAATGACTTATGGGGTAAGATTGATCATTTATTTTGTCCTCCATGTGTTTGTTAAACATTTATAGTCATAACCACATTTAACACATCTCACTGCAAAATCCAAAATCTTTTTGGGATTAATGTCTCAGCCATACGCTATCAATGGAACCATCACCCCAATCTGCAATGAACAGCTGGACGAGACTTTACGCCAGATGTGAGTTTTGAAACTAGGATTCAAATATTATTATTTATTAAAGCTTCCAGATTTAGGTGCATTATTTCGAAATCTACTTTTACACTGTCTTATTTACCAATAAATGTCTCTTAGGAATCCTGAGTGGGGTCTACCGGACATCGATGTGCTCAGACAACTGGCCTTCAGTAATGGGATGAGAATGGAACGAATGGTGAGGACCATTGATTTACTTCATTTCATTTGTTTAGAGGGTCCCCACTGTAGGCCATGTATCAAATTTTTAAATTTCCCCTGGCTTTCATTAAATAAAAGTTGAATTTCCATGAGCTATTTTTCCACTTAAAAGCGGCAGAGCTATTGTAACTAACATGTATTAAGACTTCTGTTCTTATTCATTTGCATTAATTTTTAGCCATATACAACACAACTTGTTATGCCGCTTGAGGTTGTAATCTCATTTTGTTAATTAGTTATACTCAATTAGTTAAATTTTATTGTACAGTCATAAACGCGCAGTTTCAACTTTTGTTATAGGTATCTGTCTTTTGGATGTGACGTTAAACCTAAAGGTCCTGACTCTCTATGGTCATTAAAAATCCCAGGATGTACTTAAAAAAAGAGTAGGGGTTTAAACCTGGCATCCTGGCCAAATTTGCATGGCCTCCTAACCATGCCTATATAATAATTGGTTTCATGTCTCCTCGCCACCAATCAGCTAGTGTGTGGTGTTCAATCTGGCGAAATATGGCTGCTGTCGTGTCATCCAGGTGTATGCTGCACACTGGCGGTGGATGAGTAGATTTCCCCCCCAAAAAATGTGTCAAGTGCTTCGAGTGTCCAGAAAAGCGCTATATAAATGAATTATTAATTAAATGAATGAATTATGAATTATTCTTATCATTATTATTTAAGTTTTGTTAAAGTTCACCAAAAAAAATTCTGCCATCATTAACTCATCTTTAACTTGTTCAAAACTGTTTCTTTCTTCTGTTGAACACACACACACATATACATATACATACATATACATATATATATATATATATATATATATATATATATATATATATATATATATATATATATAAATTATTATTTTATTATTATTTTTTTTTTAGTAATTTGTAACCTACTATGGAAATCTTAGCAACCAACATTTTTTAAAATATGTATTTTTGGGAGTTCAACAGAAGAAAGAGACTCAAAAAGGTACAAAAACACATGTAGGAGAGCAAACGAAAAGATTGCTAAATCTAAAGTGTGCCCATCCAACAAGTTATTTCAGCAAAAATGTGCTTAAAATGCAGTATTTAATCCCCATAATTAAATAGAAAAATCAGTCAAATAACAGCAAAAAGGTCCACTTTTTGAGAAAAAAAAAAAGAACCATCCCTTTCACTAGGCTGGCTACAGGCCTGAGATTCATGAAAATCCATGAGTCGTGAGAACCCTGTGATTGATCATGAAAGCATAACATATTTATGTAAATCTCGTGAAAACACGTCCACATCAAACAATCCTAAAAGGTACAGTAAATGAAGAGCTTATTTTACTATTACGATTATTTTCTTTGCAACACAAATTTAGACATTTTATAGGACATCTGAGATCCTTCATTGAGAGAAATGGTCCCGTTTATAGTCCAAAAAAAAAACCCACCCTCAAAACAAACCATATCAAGCTTTGAGTGCTAAAACAAATAAAATTTCACTTTCTTTAAGAAAAAGTATTATTTCTCATGTGTATCTTGAGATTTAGAGATGAAATGACCTGAACATTTTTTTGGCAAGTTTCACTTATTTCTGCTGAAATGTCTGCATAACCTCTATGTGGTGTGTTATTCCACAGATTGAGATGCCTGAGAGTAACAAATGCCTTGTCTTCAGAAAACTGTAGGATCTCCGTCCAGAACCAGAAGACGCTTCATCTTCCATATTTACATTCTGCCTGTGCTTTAAACACACAAACTGAACAGACTGCACAAACATATAATAAACAAGAAAAGAAACATTTCCACTAATGCGTGTGACCAATAAAAGAACAAGATTTATTAAATATGACCTTAAAATTTCTTCTCTTTAGCATGAGGCGGATCAGCATGATGGAACAAAAATTATATTAAAGGCATTACAGACATCACCGGTTGTGAAACATGCAGCATCCAAATCACATCTTCCAAAACTCCTCCTGAAAACCATTCATTGGGTGGCAGCTTTTTTTTTAAATCACCATTGAAATAGACTTCCTTTGTCTGCCATTGACCTGGAGCTTCATTTTACACTGCAATTAATAAAACTGCAATTTGACATCAATAGGTTTCTAGTTCTGAACCATTGGATGTAACGAAACTTACATGCAGTACTAGGAAAAACCAGCTCATTTATTTTGAATAGATTGGTGATATGGAAATGGCAGTAAAGTTGACATCTTATTGGCGGTTAATTACACAACAGAAGCCAATGTGTTCACCATCTACTGGATGAATCAATAGCGAGGCTTTCACAACACTGACCCTACAGGCAGAGCTTTTTTTTTTATTTTATTATTTCTAGAGTCGCAGACAATAGTTTTGTCACACTGAAACCAGCACTGGAATGTTACACGATTTAAATCTGTGCGGATAAGCGGTTGTGATGCCTCAGCGACCTTTGTTAAAGCAAGCACATCTCTTAACCAAAGAAAAACAAGATGGTTGTTAAATATTCACTCATGCAAATGCTTCTTAGAAAAATACCAGACAGGATGGTTATTTTGTCTTTTTGAATGATTTTGTGTTTGCTTCTCTATAGTATGAACGAGTAACTTCACATCAGCTCCTTTTTATAAGGAAAAAACTACATTTGAAAAAATCTAGAGGACAATTAGGGTGAATCTCACAAGATGTCCAGAACACATTTATATTAAAGCCCATTTCTGTCATATAAGAATAATGAAAGCTTTTGCAGTATAATAATGACACAAAAAGTAAAAAATAATAAGATCCTAAATCAAAAAAAAAAAAAAAAAAATACAAATGTTTTTGTCAATGTGCTTGACATCTCATAATTAAGGTTTAGTTTATCAACTTTTAACATTATTAAAGCAATGAGATACATAATTACAATTATGAGATATTGGAATTATAAAATAATGATAAAAGTCAATTTTGATTATTCCTTTTTTTATGATTTAGCATGTGCATTCCAACATACACTCAAATGTATAACTTGCAAAGTCAAAATTATCAGTCAAAATTAATAAGTTAATCATGACTTATGAGAAACAATACTGAAATAATGATTAGTCAACAATGACAATTGTCTTTATACATATTATCATAATTTGACCAATATTACAACTTGAAAATAAAAGATAACAAAATGTCGATATTCAAAGCTATAATTATGATATAAAAGATCATTAACGATGTAAGTAGCTGATGATTACTTACTATGTGATCATTTATGTGATCATAATTTTTTTTGTATGGATTAATACACATTTTTGACATTGAGAATACTAACTCATGATTATGAGATGTCTAAATTATGACTTTATGATTTTGTGCCACAATTATGGTTCACCAAAAGTCTTATATGACAGAAATTAGATTCTTTATTATTTTATTTTTTTAATGAAGCCATTTTTAGGACCATTTTTTTAAACATTTTTTCATGAAAACAACAATAACATTTCCCCATTTTTAAAATGTAATGTCAAAAGTATATTATATATTGTCAAACTTATATGACCAATAATTGTCAAAAGTGAATCTCATTAACGTTACATTTACTACTAAAATGACAAAGAATAAAGCCTGAACATTATTATACCATTATAAGCATATTACCATTGTTCTAACTACATTACAGCTGAAATATTTTTTATCATCCGTAATATGATCCCCATATGAAATATAAACAAAAAACATAAAGAGGTCCAAAATAGGCTTCATTTTCTTTTCGTTTTGAGGGTCAAATATGATCCAGACATTGAGTTTCATCCAGGTTTCAAAGGTTCCCTTCCCCAGCTCCATCAGTATCATCTCCTCCTTCATTTACAGACACAGTGAAGGGAAGGTAAACAGCCAAATGCTTTTTTTTAATTTTTGTACAGTTTCAGTATTTGTGGAGCAGTGTGAAGCATCAGTGTTAGAGAGAGCTGAATGTAGTGTGCTGGACCTGCTGTGTAAAGGCATATGAGGAGCGATCAGTCAAATGAAATGAGCTGAGCCTCTGCACTGCCCGGAGGTGCTTGAGGAGGAGGAGGCGGCTGCTGCTGCTGCTGTGACTGCTGCTGAGGACCACCAGGAGGAGCCATCTGCACAAACACAACAATAAACAATGGCATTCAGATTTGCAGAGCGCTTAGGTAACTGTCAAAGCATTTAAGAGCCTTCAATGCCATTTCAAAATCAGACTAAACAAAACAAAAATTGGAAGTACGTTAACAAAAGAACTACAGTCGGAACCGTGTCCCTGGCTAATTCTGACTAAAAATGTTAGTTCAAATGTATGTAAAAGTTGAGATTGTTGACAATGATGCCTCTTGTATGTTGTCTTATTATCTTTTGAAAGAAGCCCGTGTCGTTGCGGTCAAAAAAACTCACTGGCTGAATAAAGTTAGAATTTGTCAGGGTTGTGAATAATTTTGGGCTTGACTGTAATATTGGTAGTAATTTTGACCTTTTTCAAATACAAGTTATTACTGTATTCATTTCTAACATTTTATCAATACTCAAAAACCAGGGTTTCTGTAGGTTTCACCAAATCAAATTTAAGACATTAAGAACTCTTTTAGAATTAAGAAATATCTATAGGGATAAACGCTAAGAATTGTTTTAATGGCCCAGCAGGAAAAAGAAAAATTGAATTAGTCATTTCTTAGCCGCAAATTTTGAATGATCTCAAAACAAGCAGACCTGTTTAAATACTGTTTTTCCTCATAAATAACATTAAAAAACTATGTGTATAGACAACAGACTGTTATTATTTTATGAATTGTTTTGCTTTGAGATGTTTTATTGAGATCTGTTCTTGGTGAATGGATGTGTTAGATCGATGGCTATGTTTTACATAAAGGAAAATTAAGACTCATTTAAAATTATTTAAGCCCTACAATATATTTCAGTGAATTTAAGCCATTTTAAGGACAAAAATGTATTTTTTTTTTTTTTTTTTTTATTAAGACTTCTGAGTATGATTCTGAGTATTACCATAAGGGTCAAAGCAAGAATCATTTCACCTTTAAAAAAAATTATCATGATCACTTATTCTTAAATAAAGTTTAAAATAAACAGCTCGGAAAAGGTGGGTTGTTTATTGTTTTAAATTTAAAAATACATGCATTGCTGTTATGCTGAGAAGACATTATTTCATGCTAATTGTGATTTTATTTTATTATTTGAAACATTTATGGAGACATTTCACTTGTATTTATTAAAGATTCCTTAAAAAGCTTTGAAATATGCCTTTTTACTCTGTTTAGCATATTCTCAACCAAAACACGAAGAGGGTAGGACAGTGTAGATCCTCCCCTTTTTCAGAACAGCTAATATTGTTTTATCAGCGCTCTGCCAGTGAGACTGGTTGAGCCCAAAAGCATCAAATGAAACGCAAATAAGAGCTGTCTTGAAGGGGGTGGGGCTTGTAAGATACTAGAGAACATTTGATTGGATTTAATTTGATGAGGGCTACGCAGTGGCACAGTAGGTAGTGGTGTCGCCTCACAGCAAGAAGTTCGCTGGTTTGAGCCTCGGCTCAGATGGCGTTTCTGTGTGAAGTTTGCATGTTCTCCCTGCGTTCGCGTAGGTTTCCTCTGGGTGCTCATGTTTCCCCCACAGTCCAAAAATATGCAGTACAGGTGAATTGGGAAGGCTAAATTGTCCGTAGTGTATGAGTGTATGTGGATGTTTCCCAGAGATGGGTTGCGGCTGGAAGGGCATGTATTGTGTAAAAACTTGCTGGATAAGTTGGCGGTTCATTCCGCTGTGGCGACCCCGGATTAATAAAGGGACTAAGCCGACAAGACAAGAAAATGAATGAATGAATGAATGAATGAATGAATGAATAAATGATTTGATGAGAAACTGTAGTTTGAGGTGACGTAAAAAAATCTTTGCTCCATATTGGCAGAACGACAAGCTTTACATGGTTATATCAGTTTTATATCTTTTTACCGCAAATTGTGTCTTGGTTTTGGTGCACACTAGCTTATCTTATCTTACAAACTAACAATACTGATACTAACTTCTAAAAGACGTTTAAGCTTACCATGTATATTAAATAACTTCTGTAAATTGAATTTGCTGAAAACAAAAAATACTGTTTTTATCTGCTAGTTTTAGTCATTTTAAATTCTAATTCTCAACTTAAGTAGATCAGTTAAATCTAATTTCTACCTTTTCTCTAGGCTTTTTTCTTACATTAGATCACAATTATACATTTTAATAATACAAATTATAGCTGAACATACATTTGTTTTTTCACCAAAGATATTTAACTAGTCATTTGTTCTACATTTACAAAATGTTGATCATTTGCTGCATTTGCAAGAAAACCCTCTTTAACCAGAAGGTAAGGAATGATGCTTGAAACATGAAGTAGTTAAGATGACTAAGTAAAATAAAAACATCAACAGTAAAATGAAATCTTAAAGTCCATCATCCTGAAAATATTGAGCATTTGTTTTACATTTTCACCAATTATTTTGTACCTCACCACTTTATTACACCTGTCCAACTGTCCGTTAAAACAAATTTCTAATTCTCCAATCACATGGCAGCAACTGTATGTAAATGTGGTCAAGATGATCTGCTGCAGTTCAAACCATCCAAGCATCAGTATGGGGAAGAAAGGGGATTTAGGGTGCTTTCACACTACATAGTACAGTACGTTTAGCTAGTGTGAACGTGTCTTCTGAACTCGGGTGCGCACCCGTGAACCGTACCCTAGTCCGCTTGAAAGAGGTGGTCTGGGGTATGATTCATGCGAACTCTGGTACGATCACTTCTGATGTGAATGTAATCGTACCAAATCACAGAAGTGAACCGCCAACTGTACAACAAACTATAATTTTCATAACTTTCGTTCGTGTGTGTGTGTGTCACGTTTGGTACCTTGGTGACACGCGCGGGACTGAGCCAGGGCAAACACAGTAATACACAGTGATGTCTGCTTGTCTCCTCCAAAAACAGCTTCTGCAGACACTATGTGATGTTCTGAATGTTTACAATATTTTTGCGGCAGATGGACGTGAGTCACTTTCTGTATGTCCGAAACCAAAAGCTTCAGTAAAAGCTGAATGACCGCGATGTGCGGAAGTCTTTCCATTTTGCCGCTTGCTTTTGTGACCATCACCTAGCAACGGCCGTAAACAAAACAACAGCTCGATGACGCAAGCTTACCGGGGTTCAGAAGGAAAAAGACAGTGTGAACACAAACCAACCGAGGAGGTGGCAGGGGGAGACAATCGAACTTGGGTACGGTCTAGGCAAATGAACCAAGTGTGAAAGCACCCTTAAGCAACTTTAAACGTGGCATGGTTGTTAGTGTCAGAAGGACTATTCTGAGAATTTCAGAAACTGCTGATCTACTGGAATTTTTACACACAATCATCTCTAGAGTTTTAAGAGAATGGTCTGAAAAAAAAGAAAATATCTAGCAAGCACCAGTTCTGTGGGCGTAAATGCTTTGATGAGGTCAGAAGAGAATGGCCAGACTGGTTTAATCTCATAGAAAGGCAACAGTGACTCAAATAACCACCTGTTACAATTGAGGTATGCAGAAGAGCATCTCTGAACCTACAACACATCCAAACTTGAGGCAGATGGGCTACAGCAGCAGACGACCACACAGGGTGCGACTCCTGTCAGCTAAGAACAGGAAACTGAGGCTATAATTTGCACAGGCTCACTAAAATTGGACAATAGAAGATTTGAAAAATGTTGCCTGGTCTAATGAGTCTTGATTTCTGCTGTGACATTAAGATGGTAGGGTCAGAATTTGGCTTCAACAACATGAAAGCATGGATCCATCCTGCCCTGTATAAATGGTTTAGGCTGGTGGTGGTAATGTCATGGTCCATCCCTTTATGACTACAGTGTACCAATCTTCTGATGGCTACTTCCTACAGGATAATGTGCCATGTAATAAAGAGCCAATCATCTCAGACTGGTTTCTTAAACATGACAATGAGTTCACTGTACTAAAATGGTCTCCAAAGTCATCAGATGTGGTGGAAAGATAGATTCGAATCATGGATGTGCAGCCGACAAATCTGCAGTAACTGCATGATGCTATCATGTCAATATGTACTAAAACCTTTGAGGAACATTTCCAGTACCTTGTTAAATCTATGCCATATAGGATTAAGGCTGTTATAAAGACAAAAGGGGACCCAACTCAGTACTAGTAAGGGGCCAGTGAGTTTTTTATAACTGTGCAGAGACAGTAAACATTTAAGATGTGCAGTAAAATTATATACGGTTAAAATTTTTTTACACGCATAATTGCTGACCTGCTGGTACATGGGCTGTTGCCCAGGCATGTAGGGCTGTTGGGGAGGCATGTTGGGGTCTTGTCCGGGAAGAGCGCTCATCATATTCTGCAACAGGAGAAAAAGGCAGTCAATGAAAAAGTATTTGTGATGTAGGAATGGAAATAAAAAAAATTTAAATGCAAGATGCGACTGTGCTCTAAACAGTAAAGTGTACCTGCATGTTGTACTGCTGGTAGCCCATGTAAGCTATACCATTGGTCGGGGCAGCCTGTGACATTGGTGGCAAACTCTGAGCCTGAGACACCACGTTCTACAAAAACAAGAGCCAAGTATGTGAACAACATTCAGGAAGGACATTCAAAGTCTGTCACAATCATTAAAGAGCCTCTGTTATGCTTTTTGGGTTCCATTAGATGGTGTGATTTTTGTAAAAATGAAACAGGTCTCCAAATTTAAAAGATGAAAGTCAAAAATGAATACTGTCATTCAGGAAGGACATTCAAATCTGTCAATCATTAAAGAGCCTCTGTTATGCTTTTTGGGTTCCATTAGATCAGGGGTCACCAAACTTGTTGCTGGAGGGCCGGTGTCCTGCAGATTTTAGCTCCAACCCTAATCAAACACACCTGAACAAGCTAATCAAGCTCTTACTTGGTATACTTGAAACATCCAGGCAGGTGTGTTGAGGCAAGATGGAGCTAAACCCTGCAGGAACAACGGCCCTCCAGGACCAGGATTGGTAACCCCTGCACTAGATGGTGTGATTTTAAAAAAAAATAAACAGGTCTCCAAATTTAAAAGATAAAAGTAAAAAATGAATACTGTCTCCCAAAAGAAAGAAGAGATTATGAATAAAATCCAATAAAAAATATGTCTTACATAGCAGAATATCTTGTTTTGTGTTCAACAGAAGAAAGAAATTTTAAAAAGGTTTAGAATAGGTTTAAGAGTAAAATTTGAACGAGAAATTTTCTTTTTTTTTTTGGTGAAATATCACCCTAATGCACTTCCAAATGATTATGGTTACAATAAAATAAAATTCTAAATACAGAGAAAGCTAAAATTAAAATATGCTTATGCATTTTTGTTTTCTGACAACCTGTAAGCAATTGACTAATCTGAGCAGGTGGAATCATCGAAAGATTGGGTTTAGAGACAGAATCTTTGATCCAACTATTTCAGACACTATGAAAAAAGAGCTGATGTAGCTGATGTAATGTTAGACATATTACAAAACAAACCTCTAGACCTCTAAAACAAGCAACTCTAAAAATCCAGTGCTTCCCACAGGTTTAAAATATACATGCGGTGGTAGCCCTATTGAAACATATCCATTACCCACAGCACATAAATGGATAACTACATGTGACACGTAAAAATAATGTGATTTTTAACAATACTTTTATTTGTTATAATGCTGTTATAATTTGCTATAATACAGATGCTATTTAGAAGCCATCTGCACACAGCTTCTCTCTCTCTCTCTCTCTCTCTCTCTCTCTCTCTCTCTCTCTCTCTCTCTCTCTCATTTAAATTAATAACGTATATAGCAAATGAGAAATAAATTACAGAAAAAATGAATAAAAGCTGACAAAATCTCTAAAAAATGTATAATATTTATTAATAATTAATTAACTAATTAATTAATTAATTAATTAATTAAAATAAAAAGTGTTTGTTATAACTAAGGCAAATGAGTTGATTGATCATTTCTAATGATGTACATATATTTTAGAGCCAGTTTAGATGTAATTTCCTCCTCTCAGAGTATACAATAAAGTATTTTTTATCGTTTAGGTTAAAGAATCTATTATTTACTTTTTTCTCTCGGCCTCGTGGATGTGAAGCCAAGCGGAAAGTAGTCTATAATAAAAGAGTAATGCAAAAAAGCGCAACAACTTTAGAGAGCAAAAGCAAAAGTCGACTCCCGGACATTTTAGGAGATTTAAAAACACCGGCCGGATGCATTTTTAAGCCTCAAATAGGCACATCTCTGTGGGTCTCTGCAGAGCACATGAGACTGTCTAAGGAAGTGTTGTTGACTGTTCTTGCACACACTCAACAAGCAGTGCGAAATGTGAAGGGCAAAGGATAATCAGGAAAATCAAACGTGGGTGTTTGGTTATCTTGGGCAAATACAAATAAAAGTGTAAAAGGATGATAATATTAAGTAAAAAAATAAATAATAATAAAAAAGGGTCATCAATTATACTTGGGCGGCCGTTTTTACATCAAAGTCTATGCGTGGGAAGCAACGCAACTGAAATACCATAAGAGCCCTTTCTAAAGAAACTTTAAAGATTCAAAAATGTGAGTGTTAGATAAATTTAAAGACTTTGTTTTGAAGTAGAACCACTGACCTGGTAGCCCTGTGTGGGTGTGGGCTGGTAATTAGTGTAAGCAGGAGTGGTTGTTGGTGGGGCTTGTCCTGGGGCTGCCGGCTGCCCACTATTGCCCGCAGTCTGATACATGTAAGCATTCACCATGTTGGGATCTAAAAGAGAGTAAGTGGAAGAATAATTAAATTAGAAAAAAGTAAAATTAAGACTTATAACACTTTACTTAAAGGGGTGTTCGAAAGACAATCATGAGAAGGAGACCTTATGCATGCTTATGACAACTGTTTTAAATGCAAAGGTGAAATTGTTTGAGATGTCTTTGCTATGACAACTTGACAAACAAAAAAACTCACAACCTGTCAGTTTCATTGTCATTGGAACTTGACAATGCAAAGACAACAAAACCTGTCATTGTCTCTTTGTGTGTCATAAATATTATAACAGCATCATTAATATTTTTTAACCTCTACTAGTGGTACAAATTGAATTTGTCATTTAATAATTAAATATTACTGATGCCATTATAAAAAGTATTTGACATAGACACTTTTAATGAGAAAGTCAGTTTTTTCCATTGAAAAAGTGATCAGAAAAATATTCATGAAGCAATTTTTATGACCTCATGACAATAGGTGCTTTCCAAATCATATATTGTACTTGGGCATTATTCAATCCCATTTTGTAGTATAAAAAAAAGTAGCGAATTCACAGTGTTTAATACCCAAATTATGCACCTGATCAACCGTTAAAAAAATAAATAAATTCTTTTTAAATTCTCCAATGTTAGTGATTATGCCCCCTCCCGATTGTGAATCCAGTTATACTCATGGCAGGAACTGCTTGGTAGTTTAGTGGTTTATTTTACCAATTTAGCAACAATTAAATGTTACCTGGGAAACCACTCGGGTATAAGAGCATAACAAATAGTGTCATTTGGAACGTAACTAATCATGTTTGACAGATTTATTACACATTTTGTTGTCATAGAAATGTCATGTTTTTATGACAATAGCTATGTTTCCATCCAAAGATGTGTATGAAACTTATGCGCAAAACAGGAATATCACATAAAAGATGTGCGAATAAAGCAGCATTTCTATCCAATGAGTCAAAGAGAACAAAATCACTTCCTGATTAACTGGCGCCAAATATCAAAAGTAAAATCGGAATTTGCTGAAGTAGAAGAAGCTGCGTGGATCTTGTCTTCTTAAAATAAATAAATAAATAAATAAATTAAGTGTTACCTTTTTCTAAATGACTTGTGCCTCAAAAGACAAACGCCGACATGCAATGAATGCGTGATGGCGTTTGAAAGTATAAAACGAGGAGCACAAATCCTCTTGACGGTTCTGTAGGTAATTAAGAATATGGTAACACTAATAATGAAATGTTTAAGGCATTTAAGAATGACCAAAACAACATCTTAGATGTTTTACGATGTGCTCAGCCTGCTGATTTATCCAATCACACATATTTTTATCTTCACATGACTTTTTTAAATGCATGTACTGGAATTTGTTTGGTAAAAGTGTTTCCATTGTAATTTATCTCATCAAATAAAAAGTTTACTCTACTCAGTTATGCGCATATGTTTTTATGTGCATTTTTTAAATTCATGCGCATCTTGGTGTTTCCATCAGCCGTTTTTATATGTGCATATATAAAATGTGCATAAACATAGGGGATGGAAACATAGCTATTGAAAGCTTTATGACGCATAATGACAGATATCATAGCCATGCAAAAAAATCTGTCAAGTCAAAAATAAAAGGTGTCATGAAATCCACCTTCAAGTAAAGTGTTCCAAAAAGGCTTAAATGGGCTGTCCACTATGATATCATATTTTAAACTTTAGTTGATGTGTAATGTAGCTGTGTGAACATAAACAGCATCTCTGAATGTAAAATCTTCCAAGTTCAACGCAAAGGGAGGCCTTGGTTTTTACAGAGCTAGCTTAGTAAAGCCTACAATGAACGGATTTTAAGGACTACAAAAAAATACTTTCGGCCCTTGTGACATCACAAAAGTACTTTTACCACGCACGCACACTGCACAGCTAAGGGCCATGGCCAGAGGCACTGTAACATTATAGCAGTGAGCTAAAATGCGACCAAATGCTGCTATTTCCGCAGAGCTTCATCTGTTTCTGTATTTGGGCTTCCAAAGGACACGACACAAAGACAGAAGTGCTTACAGTTCAATATTAATTATGTTCCAGAGAATTATAAAATACATACTGTAGCAAGCATGCTTTGACAAAACAGCTTTCAGAATAAGAAGTTCAGTGCTGGATTCGGTTAAAATCTCCTCAAAAATGGAGCAGCTACAACAAGCTGACGCTGTGAATTCTGAGCCACGACCTGTGTTTTTATTTGTTAAATTTGATTATGACATGTACAGTGTCTAGCCTTAACGGTATGTTGTAGCAAAGATGTAAACAACGAGAAATGATGTTCGTCATCGCTAAAGATTTAGCTACAAATCCATATTCATCAGTCAAACTGCTATAAACACACAGACACACACACACACCACCGGCGCGTGAAGCCTCTCTCTCTATGTGTGTGCTCGACTTTGCATTGTTTCTCTATAAAGGCAGCTTTTCCATGCGTTTTACATCTCGCATAATGAAGTCGCAAAAGGTATGTGAACGATTCATGTTACTTAAACAGGCATATTCCAGATATGTGTGAAAGACGTTGTGTAACTCCTTGATTTAAAAAAATACAGGAAAGCTCCCCTAACTGGTGTGTAGCAGCAAAAAAAAACAATCAAGGCTCACACAGGTTTCATCCCACATCTTGTGCTTCATTCTTCTGTCACCAACATCACCATAGAAAATAACTTAATCCGAGCATGAGAGAATAAGAGAAATAGACATCACTCCCACGCACATGCGCTTCTCGTGTTACAGATAGTATATACACGCACACACATAAACACACATACACACACACACACAATAGCGCACAGACACACTCTCTCTTCAAGGAGCCTTACCCCATTTTTACTCATTACAGACACTTGTCAGATGTTTTTTTATAGAGAGGGCATGAGGTTGACTGACTGTTTACACAAAATGCGCATGCTTGTAGGGGCGTGACGTGGAACCGATCCGCGAATCACAGCACATTATGACACAAGACCAATCAAAGTCACTTGAGGGCAGGCCATACAGAGGAATGAGGAAATATATCAGCTGTTTTCATGTTAGCTGAGTAGCTGTGTATAATCAAAACGAGATTTATGAAAAAAAATAACATGATTTCCTTCAAGTGAAACAGAGTACACATTGCTTTGCATCTTATTAACACAACCAAGCCTTAAAATTACATTCTGGACCACCCCTTTAATAATTGCGAGAGACATATAGAGAGGATGTTTGGCTTACCTGGTGGCATGGCCTGATACGGGCCACCGGCAGCAGTCTGACCGGCCTGGTTCATGTAGACTCCATGCATGGGCGACCCTTCAACCGAACCCGAAGGACTGAATGTGCCTGGATAACTTGGAGGGCCAGCAGGGGGGTACACCACTCCCCCTGCCACATTAGGAGGCAGTGACTGCATCTACAAGCACACCAAAAATAAGGCTGCCACAATTAACTTATAAGCTCAATGTTTATCGACAAGAATTTTATTATTAATTAAACGACACATAAACTGAAAAATCTAAAATTGAACTGGTCATAGTAAAATAAAAACATCTTGCAAGTTTTAGAACTCAAAACTGCCTGTTTAAAAACAGTCTAAAAACAGCTTATATTAAAGCCAATCTGCCAAAAATGACAGGTTGGGGAATAAGCCTCTTTTTAATAGAGCATCTGATCTCGGTCACTGCAAAATTTGATTTTGTAGGCCAATTACATTACTGCATGTTTAGTTTCACACACAGGTTCTCACTGCAGAAAGTTAAAAATATATAAAATAGAGAGAATCTTTATATTGCCTGCTTCTGAAAGAGTAAATGAAGAATCTTCCTTTGTTCACTTTTACTGCTTAATCATATGCAAACCAGACACAATGTCAGGCTGGATTTTCAGAAAGACTGATTCCAAAATACAATGCTGGGTCATCTATACTGGAACAAACAGTAATAGCTGACTTTTTTATATGTCACAATTGCTTTGTCTGTTCTAACAGATCAATTGATAAAAACTAGGCATGGGCCGGTATAAGATTCTGACGGTATAATACTCTTGGATAAAAGTTGGGCGGTTTTATGATTACTGCTCTGAAATATATTCTTTATAAATGTGTGGGTAAAAAACAAAAACTTTTTTTACATTTCTAATATTCTGGAGCAGTAAACATGTCAGCCTAAATAATTCAATTAATCGTTGACTTCTACTATATTCAAAATTCAATTTAAAACAGCATCTTTGGAATTTTTTTTTTTTTTTGCTGGAGACACTTTTGTACTAAAAAAACGTAAATAAAAAAATCATACACATACCTTAGAAACAGTAAAGCAGAACAATTTGACGTTTTTAAAACCTTGACTTTTGCAAACCATGGTATACCTTGAAAACGGTTATCGTCCCATGCCTAATAAGTACTCAGTATTTAGGCTTTTAAAGCACTGATCTATATAGAATGACTGTATTACTCATTGTGTTCTAAACTTTTGAGACAGTGAAGACATCACAAGAATTCAATCAGCAATCTCACTTCTCTATAGGAAAATGAAATACTGTATTATATAATATGTGCCTGACCAAAAAAAAAAAAAAATTATAAATAGTTGCATCTTATAAGCTGCCTATTCCAATGTTATTGATATTAGCTAAATCTACTAAAGCGCATTTCATAAACTGAAGAAAATGTCTGATTAACTGTTAGGCCTGGGTCAGGCTTGGGACTAAATTTGAAACCTGTGCAGATCTTTATTCAGATACTCAAATGCATCATTATTCTAAATCATGATGTTTTTTTAATGTAAATATCTAGATAACATTAAAATTGGAGCTAAGAAAATAAAAGTAGCAGCTCATGACCCTCTTAAATTGAGTCTGAAGTTTTGTCCAAACACAAACTGAATTTCTGTCAGGCTTTAGATTAGAGATGTTATATACATGGATATTAGAGATTATAAATTGTAAACTTTAATAATAATGTGTGAAAAATGTATGCAAACAGCAGTGCTGACCTGTGCGTAAGGCAGAGAGAAGGCCGGCATCTGTGCTCTCATCTGAATGGTGTGTTTTTGTTGTTCCAGCCGCATCTGTCTCTCCTTCTCCTGCTCCTGAAGGCGCTGGATGGCCAGCTGCCTCTGCATCTCCAGGTATTCCTGGAGAAGGCAATCTCAGTTAATTTCCTGTCATCACACTACTCAGGGATAAAATCCAAGCCACTTGCCTGTTTCTTCTGCCTCATGATCTCGAGTTTTTGTGCCAGCTGGATCTGTCGCTGTCTCTCTGCCTCCTCAGCTGCTCGTCTCAGTTTCTCCCTGTGCTCCTCTCTCAGAGCGTTCAGTGCGGCTCGAGCGTCACGCACCTGTGCCAGTTTATCCTGCAATCCTTCATAGTACACTGAGCGACAGAGGACAAAGCATTCATAAGGTAACTTTAAATTCACACTCAAAAACTCAATCTATTACAAACTTATGAAAATGTATTTTTGTTTGTAATTTCATATGTAGCAACATTGGTGGTTTCTCTAAACTGTATATTTATAATATAAAACAATCTGATTTACTTAAGCTTAAACTGGTTTATTTTCATATCATATTTCTAATTAAGTTTTTTTTTTTAACCTTCGAAAATATTTCAATGAAATCAAAATGCACATTTAATTTTGATCATTTTAATTTGTTTAGTGGTTAAAGAAAGATGCTACTCCAGTTGTTTAAATAGTAGCACATGTTGAAATTGTATTGAAATTATGGTCAATTCCTAAGAAATTAGAGTCAATATGTTAAATAAATGTAAATTCTATTCCAGAATCTATTTACTATAATCAAATAGTGTAAAATCCAAAATATTTTTTTCATTATTAAGATTTTATTTTATTTGTTCTAACTTTATTAATGAGTCTCAATTTAAATCAATGCAATTGAGTTTGATGTAAAATTGTAGCAAATGTTGTGTTGGATAAACACATTTTAAATTATGCATGGTATATACACATCCAATTTTTTCTGAAAATTGTTTATATTTAAAACAGATGTTTTAAAGACATTTAAATAGTTTTTTTTATAATTACTATGTTAATGTGAAATTAATATAAATTTCAATACCTCAGGTATGAATCTCACTCATTGTTTACTTTAAACAGCATTATCTCCTAAACGCTAGTCATCATATTATAAATACTCAACATTTTTCTACCACAAAATACTAATACAATAAAAATCAACAATTTGTAAACAATGATTATTGCATTCTAGTCATAGGACGATAATCGTTTTCAAGGTATACCGCAGTTTGAAAAAGTCATGGTTTTAAAACCACCAAAATTTTCTGTAAAACCGTTCCTAAGGTATGTGTAAGATTTTTTATTTACATTTTTTAGGACAGCAGTATCTCCAGCAGAAAAGATATTAAAAATGTCATTTTTAATTTGTAAAGAAATCAGCGTTTTTTAAACTAATGAAGACAGCAGAAGTTAATGATTAATATAAATTATTTAGCCCGACATGTTTTACTGCTCCAAAATATTATGTTTCAAAAATAAAATAGATCGTTTTCAAAAGAGGGAAAAAAATTGATGTTTTTTAACCCAGAAATTTTAAAAAATAAATTTTAAAGCAGTAATCACAATACAGTGATACAGTCAAAATCATGCCTAGTGCATTATGACTCATGAACTAAAAACTAATTTGTAACCTTCAGAAATTAAAGTTGTTTTGATCGAAAGAGACTTTGATTCAAAGACTAGAAAAAATATATTTTTAAAAACTATCACAGAAATGTATTAGATAAATGGTTATTTAATTTAATTATAATTTATAATCAATATTAATAAAAAGATATAACAATAAAAGTTATCAAAAAAAACACTACAACTTGATGTTAATGATTTCTTGAGTGATTTCTTGTGCACACAGGAAAGATTGAATGACAATGAAATTATTCTAGACCTCTCCCCACCACTTTTTTTTAATGTTAATTTTACAAGTCCCCTAAAGTTAAATGATTGTCTCGAACCATTACTGAACAATGTAACAACAGAGGACTTAAGCTTTAAATAGGAAAACTATTAAAAGTTCTTCTTTTAATTTTTTAACGAAATGCTAAAGATCAAATCTAATTCGATGAATTATGCCAAGTAAAGCTAACAGTGACCTAACCAGAAAAAGAGTTCGGCTGAATGGATTCAACACATGGAAACTTTTAAAATCAGCATTTATTTTTAAAAAATGTGTTCTTTTAAATATTTACATTTAAATTGTTATATTATTTTATCATATTAACATCCATCACATCTGGCACTGTATATGCATGACTCACGTCTCTTTTCATCCAGCTGGTTGAGTATCTCCAACAGTTGTGGGTGCATGTTGTTGATGGACTGGAAGAGAGAGAGAACTGCGCTGTCATTGGTGATGCTGCGGCCTCGCATGTGGTTGCTCTTCATGCGGTTCAGGAAGGTGGTGACTGAGTTTTGCAAGGCTTTCAGGAACTGTTCATGGTTCTCCTCAGACTCTCCGTTCTGATACTGCTGCTGAAGAGAGTTCAAAACACCATTAAAAAACACTTTTGTTTGACAATTACTTAAGACACACCACTTATTACTGGTCTCTACTAATCTTTTTTTACACCTCTACTCCTACCAAATACTTAACCCAACTACTACTACTACATTTCCAACCATTAATAAGCATTTAATTAGTAGTTCATGGAGCTAAAAGTTTTATTTAATGGATTGTTAATAACGTGAATTGTACAGTATAAAGTGAGACCAAAAACAACTGTAGTAAAAGAGGATGATTGTCCAATCTTGGAGCTCCAAATACCTCAACAATGTTAATTGGCTGGACTGGAACGTGGCTTTCCACTGGTTGGCTGACCGGTACAGGCTCAGCCAATGAAACAGGAGCAGGAGCAGAGGGGGTGGGGCTCTTGCGAACCTCTTCTTGTTTTTTTTCCCAGTAAGTTCTGTTCAGGTAACGGGCCAGCTGAAAACAAACATAATATAATTTAATACGCAGAATGGGTTTTTCAGTACTTTGTTGTTGTTGTCGACTTTGCTTTCAGCCATAAACTGGTTAAAAGTAACATTTGTAATTTTATAATATGCTGTTCTTTTGTATTTTTATATTTATTAAATAACAAATGTATCATGAATTCCACAAAAATACTATGTAGCACAATAGATTTTAATATCTATAAAAACACAGGTTTTTGGGGGGGCATCAAATCATTATATTTGATGTATTTCTGTGGAATGACACAGACAGTGAAATAAAAACGAAATATATTATTTTTTTTAACTGTATTTCTGATCACAAATACTGTCTTGAGTTTTTAAGCTTTTCAGACTTTCAGACCACAAACTTTTTTAATGGTAGTTTGTATAATTACACATTTGGACATTTATTATCATATTGATTTTACTAATGAAGAGTAAAAAAAATAGATCATAGATAATTTTCATTTTTCCATTAACTAGTTTAAAAAAAAAAAAAAAAAAAAAGGGTTTTCACCTCTGGATCCACTTCTTCAGCCGATGGAGCTGATGAATTCTGAAATTTCAAAGGAGAAACAATTTTAGCAACTTTTTAAAACTTTTTAAGCATTTTTTAAACAACTTATGATGTATTTACACTTGGACTGGACCTTAAAAAAGTAAATAAATAAATAAATAAATATATAAATATATAAATATATACATACACAGTTGAAGTCTGAATTATTAGCCCCCTTTTGATTTTTTTTTTTTTAAATATTTCCCAAATGATTTTTGACAGAGCAAGGAAATTTTCACAGTATGTCTGATAATATTTTTTCTTCTAGAAAAAGTCTTATTTTTTTATTTTGGCTAGAATAAAAGCAGCTTTTTTATTTTTTAAAAACTATTTTTGGGACAAAATTATTAGCCCCTTTAAGCAAATTTTTTTTCAATAGTCTACAGAACAAACCTTCGTTAAAGAATAACTTGCCTAATAACTCTAACCTGCCTAGTTCACCTTATTAACCTAGTTAAGCCTTTAAATGTCTCTTTAAGCTGTATAGAAGTGTCTTGAAAAATATCAAGTAAAATATTATTTACTGTCATCATGGCTAAGATAAAATAAATCAGTTATTAGAAATAGGTTTTTAAAACTATTATGCTCAGAAATGTGCGGAAACTGAATCTTCCCTCCATTTAACAGAAACTGGGGGAAAAAAATAAACTGGGTGCTAATAATTCAGGGGGCTAATAATTCTGACTTCAACTGTATATATATATATATATATATATATATATATATATACTCATAGTCCATGAGGTGGAAATTTATTTATATACATTACAAGGTCTGTTTTGTTCCTTCTATATAGATCACTTAGGCCATACGTGGCAACGCTGACATCTGTTTATCATCTGTCTGTCTGTATACATTACATAGTTAGGCTACATGTGGATGGGAACAAAACTGTAATCCATGAATGGTGACCTTTCGGGTGATAGAAACTAGATAAAAGGAGAACACACTCTTCCTTTTGTGTCTCAAACTGCAGAAACATGTATGATTGTGTGACCTTCTTTGCAAAGAATAAAACTTTAAAACATATTTCGGGTAAGACTTTGTCTTCTTGACCATTGTGAAAGCCTCTTAAAAAGAAAATAGCCACTACATCCACCTAGTGTTTACATTGCCATTTAAAAATACAATAAAGCAATAAAACAATGCTTATTAATTTACTGTCAGTTAAGAACTTGTTTACGGCAAATAAAACGTCTATTCTAAAAAATATCATACATAAAAGCTAACTCATTGTGACGCATCTCAATTTCAATGACATTTAGGTCACATTTGGAAGTAGAACTCTGTGCATGTGTGGTGCACATCAAGCTTCAGCATTCACACATATTAAAAAACATAGCACTAATAGAGCAATTAAAGCAGAGTTCATTCTAATTGCAGACTAAATCAACATCTTTTACCACGGGTGAGGAGTAGAGAGTGCTGACAGGAGGAGCAGAGGAGGTCACAGGAGTGGGATCTGCTTTGGGATAAGCAGAATAAGGGTTCTTCTGTCTCTGTACACAAATGCACACAAACACAATTAATCATGACAAGAGTCTTCGATCATGCTGACAGAAGCACTGGTCTGTGGATGCAGACGTCTCACCATCCTCTCCTTCTCCTCGGCCTCACTCTGGGACAGAGCAATGGCCAGTTGAAGCTCCTCTTCCTCTTGCAGCGCCGCCTCGTCTCTTTTAGGAGGCATCTAAGGAGCAGAGCAGCCACAGCAGGTCAGACACAAACAACACCGGAGTGAAGAAACCCAGATGGATACCATTTCATTTCATTTGCATTCATTTCAATACATGTACAAATAGAGAAAATTATTTTCATAATTTTGGTTTTCATTACAATCATTACAGTTTAACACTATTTGGACTATTAAATAATCAGGTAAGAGAACATTAAAAAATGAGTTTACGGTCTATAATGGAATAATTAGTCATTAATAATTATTAAGTCATCAGCTTCCCCTGATTGGGACAAAAATGTTAATAGAATTTGTAAAAATATATATAAAAAAAAAAAAAAAAACACCAACACTGATATGATCACTGATTTGTTATACAACTATATTAAAAGGTGAAGGGTGTCATTTCTGAATTATTCTGAACAGCACCAGAGTAATCAAATTATTTGCCCTAATCTGAATAAGACAATAATATGATTAAGGCTTTTACATGAGTTGCTTTTTAACAAACAAGATATTGGACGAGAGTATGAACTGCTAGAATAGTGTTGTTTTCATGGAATTTGATACCACATGTCTTATAAAAAACAAAACCTCTGCATTTTATGATGCAGGTGTCTGTAGTCCTTCTCTGACTTGGTAGATACAGAGAACAGTGTCAAACAGCCGTGTGTGTATAGATTATCCAGTCGAAAATGCGGCAAAAAGTCCTACACGATGGTAATAGTTTAATTAAGATGTTTACATGTCTGTACTGCAATAATGCAACTAAAATCGGCATACTCCACATGTCGTAATTTGATTTTTGTTTAGTTCGATTTTGATTTTAGTCGGATTAAGGTCATCAAAAAAAAAACATAAATAAATCGCTGTTTACATGGTAAACTCTTAATCAGAGCATTGTCTTGATTGTATTAAAATCAAATTATTGGTGTCCATGTAAACATACTCATTGTGACATGTCTTGTATATTCTATAGTCTTTGGACCTACTCTTCTTATAAATGAACAATGCAATGCAGTGCATTATAACAGAGTTATGTTGCTTCCATTTTGTCAATTTTACTACACTTCATTCTCTTTTTCCGTCAATGAAAATGATATCCATGTCATCCCTTTTTCATCTCATCTTTAGTTTTGGAGAAGAAGGTCATCAAAACTAAAGTTTTTCTTTATTAGTTTGAAGCTAACATTTTTTTTAAAAACAAACTTTAGCACAGCACTGTAAATAAAAACGGCAAACAAAAATCACTAGCCAGAGGACATATTTTAGGCATTGGCACAGAAATGACACTTCACCTTTAAATATCACTGATTAGAATGGGATTGACAGACGTTACTAGACAGTAAAATGTGCCCTCACTCATGAGCCTCAAAATTGCTTTGCATTGGAGTTCCAAATAAACCGGTGCACGAATGACAAAGCTACAGTTTTATTGTCCGTGTCGGTAAATTTGGTGGAATGCTTCATAATTGTGACGCCCATGAGCAAAAGCCCTCTATGAAATGCAACTACTTACTGATTCGGTGGGCACTACCTGAGACTGCTGGGACAGAGGGCTGGTCAGGTACTCAGGGGGAAGTTCCGATGGCCCAGTGCTGGGCGCCTTCCCTTCCGCTTTCCTAGGAGGGGGAGAGAGGGAAGGGTGGCTGGTGAGGAGAAAGGGTTTGGAGAGACACACATCCTGGTAAATCTCTGGAGGTCAGCAGAATTATAAACATCACAAATCCAATGTAAACATCACAAATCCAACTCAAAAACCATATTATTAAAGATATAAAGAATTGATCAATCAAACGATATTGCAGGGGTGTGGGGTTTTCTGTTGAAAATATGACTGTGACCAGTTCAGCTGTCTTTTTGCCTGATGACTTACATGGGGCATGATTTAGCACACAACTTAAGGTGGGGAACTCACTTTTAGGGGGCCTTTCCACTGCATTTGTACTTAGAACTTTTTAACAGTACTTTTTTGGGTGAGGTTCCGAACAAGCTGTACCAGTCCAAAATGTGACACACTGCTGATCACTGACTGGCCTGAGTGAATCATCACTATCAGCATTATTAAATTTGGGACACATAACAATGACTGTTTTGCATGACTAAACCATTTTTACACCTCTGCAAGTAAATGACCACCTGAAATGGTTGGTAGCCAAGAAACAGAACCAGAGAAAGTTGGATGGGATAACCTGGAATAAAAATGTTTTTCAGGAAGTCACAGCAATTGAGGCGGCACAACTATAGTGATAATACCATCTACTATTAGTATTAAACTGCAGTGGAAATGCAAACAGAGCCAAACAAAACCAAACAGAAATGAGACCAACCGCACTATACCACACAGTTGAAAAGTTGCTTTACCATAGGTAGCAAATATATAAGTTTTAAATGTTGGGTATGTAGAGTTTTTACATGACTCCACCACTTTTATTTTCAATTTTACTCAACAAATTTTGAAGAACCACAATAGTTGAACTACAAGCCTTTTGTTACATTATCAATGTGTCAGTTACAGTTTAATATATCCTTTCTTAATAAAAAATAACAGAATAAAAAAAATAACAGAATATAATACAAGGAAAAAGTAGTGTCTCTAAACTTTTGATTAGCAGTTCATGTCAAATAAATACATGGCATCACATGATAGGAGATCGGCAACTGATATAAAAACATGTAACAGTGACAAAGAAAAGATAAAGCCCCAGATGTTTAGGTGAATAAAAAGATGGAGGGTTGTAAATGCATAATCACAATATATGAATAGTTGGGGTGTGCAGCAAAGAATTTTCTTTTATAGGAAAATAGACAATTTTGAGGGATGTATTTTTCATTTCCATAGCTTCCAAAAGTTTACCAAAAAAGGTCCAGATATTAATAAATAATAGATATTGATAAATAATAACAACTGTTTTAACGGTAAGATACAATTATATTGCATCTTGCTTTAATTATGAAATAGTTTGAAAACAAACAGGAAATGTTTATGGGCCAATGACATCACCACATTAAAATGGTCTATAAATATTACACTAAGAACACTAGTAGATCGCTTTAACAAGCGATTCATGAAACTAAACTATTTGTTAATTGAAAACAACTTTTTCATTAATAATCTAAGAAAGTAACTACGACTGGATCAGTGAAACATTGCCTTAAAACTATTAAACTAACATGTGTGGCATTACAGACCTACATTATATTTTAATTTGTTCAAATTAAGTTCTGATATAATGTGCATGATATTAATTAAAAAGTGTTTGGATAATATTTTTGAGTAAAAAGAATAGGAACATGGTCTTTACATGACATCCAAAAATGTTTTTATCATAAAAGAAAAAGCAGTTATTTCGACTCATTCAACGTATTTTGGCTAATCCCACAAATATATCGAGCAGCTTAAGGTTTTGTGGTTCAGGGTCTCAAATATAAAAAATTAAAAAAAACAAATGATCGTAACTTGAATTACAGGCCTCTTCTAACAGCATTACAAAATGCTTCATCACACAGTCATTGTATTTGGACTCTCAAAACTCACTGAATTAATAAAACATGGGCAATTTTGAGGGATGTAAACAAAAACTGTGGTCCGAACATATTTCCTGTTTTACATTTTAAATTTCAAGAGCTTCCAAAATGTATTATATTATAATGTTATAATAACTGTTTTAACAACAAGTTATTATTGAATTGCCTTATTATGGTCATGAAATAGTTTGATAACAAGCAGGAAATTTTCATGGGCCAATGACATCAGCACATTGAAATAGTCTATTAACTCAAGGGGCCCTATCATACACCCGGCGCAGTATGGCACAAGGCGCGGCGCAATAGTCTTTTGGTAGTTTCAGCTTGGCGCAAGAGTCGTTTTGAGGCATTGCGCTACGCTGTTTAAATAGCAAATGCATTATTTGCATTATTTGCATGGGCGCTTATTTGTGCGCCCATAGGCGTTCTGGTTTAAAAAGGAAGGCGTTCTGAGGCGGACCGCTGGCGCGTTGCTATTTTGAGAAACTATAATAGATTTTTCATTAGACCAAAACTAACCCGGTCTAAACTCCGGCGCAGAGTTGCGCCTCGCTTACGCACTGCTTAATACGCACAAGCGAGCAATAGGCAAATATCTTTACATATGAAAAAATGTAAATTTTAAGGATATATATATGATATAATAAGAATAGCTATAGGATATAAATATAACAGATTAAAATATTACAAAACATATTACTTTCTAGCCTAAATCTCGGGAGGCTTTTTCAGTTCATTCATAACAATTTGCTTTTGTATAATGTTATTATTATTAGCAGTATTATTTATTATATCCATATTTATATTTGTTTTATTAAAAACAAGCTTAGATTTGCCCACCTGTCAGGTTTTAGACCATATGGGGCACAGCATGTGTTTTAGGATATAACTCAGGTTTTTGAGCACATTTTGTTATTATTATTCATTTATTCGTTTGCTGGAAATTATAACTGAATTTAGAAATAGTTTTGAAACGAATATTTGCGCTTAACAAACAAAATGATTTATTTATAGACTAATTGATGTCTGTGCGCAAAGGTTTCCCTATCCAAGAGCGAAAGTGAAAGTAGTTCCATTATCTCTCATTCTCACGCAGTAGATGCTCTGTTTAACAGTTTTCTGTTAAAAAACTGGTAACTGTTTGCTAGTGAAACGATAATTTTTTCCACTTAGACTTACTTTGCGTCCTGTAAATAGCGAATGCACTCTTGGCGCGACGCAGCTGGCTCTTAAGGGAATGGGAGATGATTTGTTCTCAAAACACACCTTTAATTCAATTCAATTCAATTCAGCTTTATTTGTATAGCGCTTTTACAATGTAGATTGTGTCAAAGCAGCTTCACATAAATGGTCATAGTAACTGGAACAGTGTGGTTCAGGTTTTACTGTTTAAGTTCAGTTTAGTTCAGTTTAGCTTAGTTCAGTGTGATTTAATTATTACTGAGAGTTCAAACACTGAAGACTCTTTAACTCATTAAGAAAATAAACTCAACCCTTTTAGACCATGCGCCATGGCGCAAAGCAGGTTTTCCCGTCCTTAAATTAGCAAAAACACGTTCTGACACGTCCTAAAAGCATTTGTGACCTGCGTTTTGCGCTCTGCGCATGGACCGTCAAAATAGAACCCAAGGTAATCATGAACACCCATCCGCAAGGAACAAATGCAGCAGCTCATTGATGGCTATCTATCTTTAAATATACTCACTTGTTGAGAATCTCGAAGCAGGGCTCACACACTCGCACCTCCTTCTCAATGCCGAACTTGGGAATGGTTGAGTACTTCGAAGAGCACTTCCCACAGAAAATCTGCCCACATGCCCTGCAGTGGTGCTGAAAGAACAACCACCAGCAGTTTATGCATCAGGAGATCAGTGCATTCATGTCATTTCACAAACATTCAATAACTAAGCATGGCAGATTTCGAAAGGAGTGCTATGTACCTTTCGGGTCATAACACCAAACTGGACCCTACATCTGTGACACTCCTCTGCATCCACCCAATCAGGGGCCTGGAAGAAAAAAAAACACAAACTGCTGATGAACCAATCCTCTCACAGTGTGCAGAATGCATCGGCTTTACAAAAGTGTTATATTCACCCTCTCTGCTGCAAACATGGCATCGCTCTCCTTGAATTCTGGGAAGACGTGACCTGAAAGAGGTGAAGCATTAATTTTATTTGAAAAATGACACAGCAGTCATTAGGCAGCTATAATTGTTTTTGCATTCGATGTTAGCAAACTGCTGAATAATGCAATAGATGTTTGTACAGTTGTATCCCATTAAGATTCCTGGTGAGTGGAACAATTGTGCAAAAGTTGACAACACAGACTGACATCATATGTTACCTAAAGAATACCTTATATAGCCCCTTTTTCAAGATGTAAAATAAGTCACTGATGTCCCTTAAGTGTGTATGTGACGTTTCAGCTCAAAATACCCACACAATGTTTTATAACTTTTTGAAACTGCAACGTTTAGGCTTTGATCCTAATCATGCCATTTAGGTAACCGTTTCTTTAAATCCAAATTAATTCTTTTTAAAAGAGGGCAGAGCAACAAATACCCATGTGTCAGCATAGTGGTCGATATAAAAAAAAGACTAATGTCCTTTGCTAGTAAAGGAGAGATTTGCACTAATGGATGGGGCTTTCTACTACCTGATGACAAAGGTTGAATGTCAATCAAAGTGTTTCTGCAGTGTTTTTTATCAAGTGTAATGGACCCTGTTCACAAGACTGTTATAAAGCATTTAACGGTCATTAGCATCTTAAATCCTTTAAGTTTTTTAAAATGTAGATTTTTTAAAACACGTAGAAACATTTATATTTATTAATGTCCACAGTATATCTTTGCTTTAAATGACAAAAAAACGAATTACTGCTTGTGCTAGGTGGTGATCACTCACACAATTTTTCCTTTTTCTGAATGTCTTTACAACATCAACATGGAGTTTTTATTTCATTATTTGAGCAAAAAGGATTGTACAAAAATGATTTGTTGAACTCTCCCATTCACTGAGGTCAAAGTTTTCCCAACCATGACGACTTCCGCTACTGAGAAACCCGAATATGTGAAATGGGGCAATTTTAAGAAACCTAAGAAGATGGTTATATTCACAGACTGTGTAAAAAAAAAAAAACTTATAAATGTGATTTGCATAATAAGTCCCCTTTAGGGATGCTTATATCGGTTTAATTTTGCAAAGCGACAACCGAATATTAACGTTTAACTGGTCAGTTTAAAACTAAATTATTATTTAATAAAAAATAAAAATTGATGTGTCGATTTTGTGTCTGACACATTAAAAATAGCAATTTAATAATTGCAATAAAATACTGATTTAATTTAACAGGCGAACAGCAGCATAAATAACATATTAACAACAGAGCATCTTCACGCACCTACAGTGTTTCCAACAGCACAGAAAAAAGATAAATGAATAAAAAGAACAAAATAAATAGTCCTGCCCTAGATATTTTTCACTTAAAAAATATCTTTTTATTTAAATTACAAATTCAGATTAAAAAATAAAAACACTGACTGAATCCTTTTAAAAAACTGGCTCATGCTGTTTGTTCAATCATGTTTTTTTTATTAAAATAAAAATATCAGGCTATCTCAAATCAATCACTCCACTGAAAATAGGCCTATGCATTTAATTAATGCTCTAATTCTTATATCACAAGCCTCTGTCAACGTTTGTTAATAAAAGTCATTAAAGATTAAAGATTATGCCTTGAGCATCTGATTTTACCTTAGAGCTTGTGAGCTTGTATTTCCTCCCTCACTCGCTGTTTATGTGCATGCACTGTGTGTGACGAGTATAGGCTTTTTTGTATATGTTGACTGTTTGTAAAGTATAGACTACTATAGCATATAATAATTTTGTTGTTTACATATGATATTGAAATAATTTGCATACATTTTTAAAAGCTATAAAATGAAATCCTCATCCTTTAGTGTGGAGTCATAATTATGCAAAAATCAAGAAAATTTTGGATTTGTTTCATTCGTATAGATTAGGCTATAAAGGCTATTTAAAAAAATTGATATTTTATAAGAACTATAAATAACTGTAATTGTTCAATGGAAAAAAAAAGGTTGGTTTGTTGGTTGTACACTAAATCATCAATAACCTGTTTTGTTGAGTTTATGATGGAGATCCAGGACAGAGGCAATCAGTATCAGCGCTGGTTTGGCATCAACTCGTCTGTGTCAAACTGTAACCAGCAATATCTCGCTTTCATTTTGCTTCTTATGCAAAATACATCTGTGGACACGTTTGGTTGCATGTGTTAACGTCACACAAGTTAACAAATGTGTGTTTTAGGAACCGATCACAGCGACCACTAGTCTCTCATCTTTAAGTTCTCCATGGTCGTCTTCAATACACAAACACTGATGTAACCTCAACTGCTTTCATTTAATTGAAGAATAAAAAAAAAGACACAACTGATGTAATGCGCTTTTTCTGCTCAGGGTTGACTATTTTCACCTGCGGGCACACACTGCTCCACTGCAAAAACGCACGGCGCAAAGGATGCATAAACATCACACAAAACACTCGCGGCTATTAGAAAACCATTCAAAAGATGCACCTCTCAATGCAAAAAGCGTGTTCGCTGTGGTCGGCCTCTACGCAGCCAAACTTTAAAAACATATAAAATTATATATTTTAATTATTTAACTGATACCATTAAATGGCTAAAAATGCACTGTTTTGGTTTATTTATCTATTTAAAAACCAATTAATGAATATTTCTGCTACTGAATGCATTATGGATTGAAAGATTTTTCATTTAACTGCAGAAAATTGCAAATACTTAAATCATTAACCTTTGAATGGTGTTTTTGTTTGTTTATAATATGTTCAGATTAGAATATATTACATAACAACAAATAATAACTTCATAGATCAATAAAAGATGCAAATTTTTTTTTTTTTAATACAACATATGAATAATACATTGAAATTCTTCTAGGAGAGTGCGGTATGTATCAAATAAATAACACCATTTTAGATGTTCTTGACAGAAGCTAGACCAATTTAATTAATTGAAACTGACAATAACGACACAAATATTCTTAATTATTACTTTCATGTGATTCACTGGTGAATTTTCAGCATAATTCCTCCATTCCTCAGTGTAACATGATCCTTTAGAAATGAATTATATTTCAAATAAATATTACAAAAAAAAAGGTTTTAAATTGTAATTAAAATTTTAAATTGTAATAAAATATTTAAATAATGCTTCTTTTTGGTGAGCATTATAAAAAATAGTAATAATAATAATAATAATAATAATAATAATAATAATAATAATAATAATAATAATAATAATAAAACAAATTAATTTTATATTTTAATTAAAATGATTGGTGCAAAGTGCAAACATGTCACCCCTGTGGTTAAAAAAAAGGTATAAAAGTGGTCTCATTTAAAAGTTAGTCTAAATATTAATGATGAATACTTTGTGTTAGTAAAACACAAGCATTGTGCTGGAAAGCATTTGCTGAAATGCAGCAGTGTATCATTTCTTATTCACAACAAATCACTTCATTTATGTATCACTATAGGAATGTATTCCATGTTTCTGAATCTGAACATTCTGAGTCTTACCTTCCACCTTCATGATTTGATAGGTGTCCTGAACAACTTTGTACTTGGGTTCGTTTCGGAAGGCGTGAGCCCAGGCCTGGATCAGATAAAGGATCTTGTTCTTCACGTTAGGTTCGGGTTGTTTCTAAAGACAAAAATGTCACATTCTGTCAGCAACAACTTGAAAACAATACCTGAGCCGTGAAGTCAGAACTCAGAAGTTGCCAGACAAGTTAATGAAAAAAAAAAAAAAAAAACAGGCACATAACACAACAAAAAATAAATAAATAAATAAAACAGTTTCTAATCAGTCACCTAAAATACTTCAAAATCTCACAAAAAGTCAGCAAAATGAATCCAAATGCAGTGTGGTGTTTCTGATTTCTGTTGGAACTTCCCTTAGTCAAAATAAACATGTGACGTGACGACACAATCAGGAAGTGCAGCACCGCATGAGTCACTGGCTTTGACCCACTTGGAAAGATCATAAAAGCAAAGGCCAAAAACTCTTAAAGCAACAGACTTCACAGACAACAGGTTAGCAGGAATCACCTTGAACAGCTCTTTCAGCTCCTCCATCGTCTGCTTACTGGCCACTTCATCATGAATGGTCTGGCCACAGTTCTTCACCACTGACTCCAGGACCTGTTAACAAGCAAACATAGGCTTACACATGACCTTCACGGAAAGGCAAAAAATACAAAACCAATTACTTATGCTGTATGCTTTAACCCAGGGGTCTCAAACTCAATTTACCTGGGGGCCGCAGGAGGCAAAGTCTGGGTGAGGCTGGGCCGCATAAGGGATTTCACAAAAAAAAGTCCTCAAATGTCATTATTAACAGTTTTAATTATTTCTTCTGAACATGAAGTGTCCTGAACATTAATAGAACATTGAGTGAAGATTATGAACAGTTCTTCTGAACATGGCATCTTTTGCCTACTCCTTGCTGCCAGAGACTTGACAGCGCTTCTTCTCACAAATCTGAACCACATTTGGCTTTAGAGCGGAAGCAGTTGAGACCCTCAATATGGCTTGAAGATGATCATCATTAAGTCTAGACCTGTACTTTGACTTATTGAAGTCCTAGGGAAAAAAGTGGGGGAACTCACTCAAAACTTCCATTTCCTCACCTAAAAAAGGCGTATATATGTATAAATAAAACACCCCCACCCCACTCCAGTCACATCAGTCTGTACCAGTCTGTATCTACCTATAATATCAATATATATAAGATGCAGGGCAGGCACGTGCACACATAGGGCTCAACCTGTGCAGAGCACATGCCCTTTTTAGTCTTGCATAGAAAGTGCCCTTACAAAATGATCAAAAGTCCCCCCGCGACGCGACACACACTCGGTCCCGCCCTTCAGTAGGCGCGCGATAACACCGTTCTTGAGTACGCGCGCGACAACACAGCTGATCAGAACGCGCGCAACAACGCGCATTGAGTGACAAGCGCGCTGTGTACGGATAGAATCAGCGGAGCGGGGAGCGCTCTCTCTCCCCACTCCGCTGATTCTGTCAGAGTACAGCGGTCGGCGCGGGCCACAAAATATTGCACTGAGGGACACAAATGGCCCGTGGGCCGCGAGTTTGAGACCCCTGCTTTAACCATTTGAGCCCAAGTACATTTGTTAAAGAAGAGCCAGTTTCACCTCACAACAAAAACAATAACAGCACAGAGGAATAGTGAAACTGAAATGATTGCCATCCAATTAAAATCCCAGCTTAGTATTAAGACCTTGAGCACTTAAAGCAAAAAAGTCAAATATGTTAGTTTAAGAATTTAATTTGTTATTGCTTTCATAAAACAAAATAATGGAAGTGAATGGCCATTTAATGCCACGTTTCCACTGACTTTAGTTTAGTACGATATGTGTCATCTTTATCAGGTTTGTGTCTCTACTGCTAAATGGTACCAATAGTACCTTTTTGGTGAGCTTGGTTTATGACAGAAAGTTGCAGTTGACATCATTCTCACTCAAGTAAATGTCAAAGTTAAGCTATACGAGTTGTTTAACAGTGGCGCACTAAATCTTGGGGTGGCACTCAAAAAATACTGAATTGTGTATTAATTGTGAATGATGAGTAACGTTATATTTTTGTTTATGGTAAATGAAACAGTGTGGTTTTAATTAATTTAAGTAATTACCCTTAAAATTTAGTAATTTATTCCTTGAAATAATTTTGCAAGTACATTAGTACTTATGTTATAAATACTTAAGTTATTTTTCACATACTTTTACTGTACAGCATACAGTATCTGCCATGTCTAAAACGAATGAAGATTACCTAATTAATTATTAAAACAAAAAGCATTACCATATACACACACTCACTATACAAACCCTAATAATATCATTTATCCATGTTCTTTTTTGAGCCACAATATTATCTATACATTTTCTTTTTTTGATGTACAGTACCCATTTGCAAGACACATTCAAAAAAAATCAACATCTAGGCCCTTTTAAGTCAACCAGTAAAACATAGAGGTGCTAAATAAACTAAATTCTGTAAAGCTGAACAAAATGAATGAATGTATGTATGTATGTATGTATGTATGTATCCATGTATGTATCTATCAATCTATTGAAATATTGTTAAATCACGCAAGTACATTTAAATTAATTACATCAACAGCAAAATCATATTGGAGTGGCCACAAGGCCACCCCTTGGGGGTGCCCGTCGTTCACATATAATATACAAAACAGACGCTTTATGCACATAAACAGTATAAAGGCCTGATCATACACCCGGCGCAAATGCGGTGCAAGGTGAGATGCAATTGTTGTTTGCTAGTTTCAGCTTGGCACAAGACTCGTTTTGATGTTTTGCACCACGCTGTTTAAATAGCAACTGCATTTGCGCTCATAAGGGCGTTCTGGTCTCAAAAGGGAGGCGTATTAAGGTGCATTGTTGGTGCGTTGCTATTTTGAGGAACTTAAATAGACAGTTCAATATATCAGATCAAAGCAGGTCTGTAGTAAAGCGCAGAGTGCATTAGTTGTGCGCCTTGCTTAAACATTGCTTTATACAATCAGAATGTACAGCAATACGCAAATATCTTCAAAACAGAAAAATAATTAAAGGATTAAAATATTACAAAAATTATTATTTTCTACATAAATATAAAAACCATACGTTCATGCCTTCTTTATCTCCGGGGGCTTTTTCAGTTTATTCATAACAATTTACTTTTTTATGATGTTATGATTAGCAGTATTATTTATTATATGCATATTTATATTTGTTTTATTGAAAACAAGCTTAGATTTTTCCACCTGTCAGGTTTTAGACCATATGGGGCATAGTATGCATTTTTGGATTAACTCAGTTTTTTGAACACACTTCGTTATTATTGTTTTTTTATTCGTTTGCTGGAAATTAGAACTGAAATTTGAAATAGTTTTGAAACAAAACTTTGCGCTTAACAAATGAAATTAATTATGTATAGGCTAATGGATGTCTGTGCATACAACATGTTTCCCTATCCACGAGAGTGAAAGTGAAAATAAAGAATAAGGAGGCTCATCTCTCATTCTCTCAGTGCTGTAGATGCTCTGTTTAACTGTTTTCTCTCTAGTGAAGTGTTCAGTTTTTCCACTTCCACTAACACTTAACACTTCCGCCGTGTAAATAGCAAATGCGCTATGGTGCCGCGCAACTGGCTCTTAAAGGGAATGAGAGATGAGACTCAGAATGGTTTATCAAAACACACCAATAACTCATTAAGAGAGTAAGCTCAACCCTATAAGACCATGCGCCATGGCGCAAAGCGGACTTTTCCATCCTTAAAATAGCAAAAGTCGATTCTGACTCGCCCTTAATGCATTTGCACCCTGTGCTTTGAACTTTGGGCATGGATCGTCAAAATAGAGCCCTTAATGAGTAATTATAAAATATATCAATGTTAATAACTAGCCTTCCTATGAACATGATTTAATTCTAGCAGCAGATAATGATGATAATGCAAAACAGCCTACAGTAACAAACACATAAAGAGCCCAACAGTCTCTGAAATGTTTCCAATTACAAAAAAATAACCAAAACATATATTTAGGCCTTATTTTGGTTCAGAAACTATTTAAAATATATACATTTTTGTTCTTAACCAGCAGATGTAATGTTAACATCAAGCAAAGGACACAAAAGATGCGTGCAATTGAGGTAGAAGTAAATAACTATACATTGGATTTTCAAGTGCTCATGATAAACATTTCATGCATTCATCAACAAAATATATTGTATTATTCATTATCAGCATTTCATAAACCAAATTTATTCATGTAGTGACAGTTCTCACTGTTCATCATTTAATGCCTCGTTTCCAATAAGTGGTACTGTTCAGTTTAGTACGGTAGGGGTCACCTTTATAAGGCTTGTCTCCACTGCTAAATGGTAACAATGGTACCTTTTTGGTGGGTCTGATGTATGACAGAAAGTTGCAGTCGATGTCATTCTCACTTGAGGAAATGTCAAAATAAAGCTAGATGTATATCGTATACAAAACAGATACTTTACACAGTATAAAGGCTGATTTATACTTCTGCATCAAATGCTGACCGTGAAGGAGCTCCGGATGGAAAGTTTTGTTTTGTGTTTACCTCATAGTTAAAGTTGTTGCACGTCTGCAGTTTCCTGCCTCAAAATGAGCGAGTTTGAGCCACTTGTACATCCCGGAAGTGTTCAGGAAAAGAAAAACAGCACCGAAGAAACTCGACATTTACACAGGAACATTTACACCTCACTGCCAACTAGCGTTCGGGAGTGTTAATGCAGACCAACAGAGACAGCGCGAAGAAGTATAAATGCACAGCTACGCGCGTTGCATGCGCCGTGGGTTACGCTGGTCACTTGACGCAGAAGTATAAACCAGGCTTAAGTGTATAAATGTTAATAACTGACCTTCCTATGAATATGATTTGATTATAGCTACAAATCAATGATAATGCGAAATAGCCTACAGTACACATACAGAGCCTTAAGCGGGTCGCACAGCACTCGGCACCGCAACACATGACAGTTGAAAGCATCGCTCACCAGATGCGCATATTCGCATGTTAAATTAAAAATGAAACTATTTAGATGCTGCTTTGTGGCATGGCAGAAATAGGAACATAGTTCTGAGTTGTGGCTGGGCAGCCACCAACTTGCGACACCGGTGTGTGTACCCTGATAGAAACCTATTTTTAGAATTCTAAAATGCATGGCGATGCGTGGCTAAGCACGTCACTGAGCTGCACATCTGGTTTACAAGCTTTTTTAGAGTCTCTGAAATGTTACCAATTACAAAAAATACCCAAAACAAACATTTAGGCTTTTTTGAGTTCATAAACTAAATAAAATATACACAGCCAGTACAAACCTCTCATATTTATTCTTTACCAGTGCATGTAACATTAACATCTTGTTAAAAAGTAATTCCGTCATTCTGAACTCAGTAGTTCAAAATGTGATAACAATTAAACATGGCAGTTTGTTTATGTTTTAGGTTGCTGAAAGAATAATATGCTCTTTTGTTTATTCACGCATTACTCTCACGTTTGTATGGTTGGAAGAGGTATGCCAGAGGGTGTTTTGGTTGGGCTTTGACACGGTACACTTGTGGTGTGAGTGCAAAGATCGCCTGAGCCTGAAACTGAAAACGCGACATCACTTTTAAGGAACTGTTTCATATGGATTTATTAAATCATTTTTACTTTTAAATGAACGCAAACTGTCATAGGTTATTAAAAAAGCAAACCCCTCACTGTGCATCTGCTGCACCTTCGGCAAACCTAATATCTGCAGCACGATGACATGCTTGTGCTATTAGACAGCCTCATAAACAACAACAGGACAATAGGCAGATTCTGCTCTTCTTCTTGGCTTTGTGGCTGTTTATCAAGACATCACTTTTTGTTTGAGCTCGGGTCAACCATGGCTCATTATTGTATGTATATATTATTATGGTGTAATGTCTCGGCTGTGTATTTAAAAATAGAGCTTCCTTGGTTTTTAAAATCCAGGCTTGTTGCACGCTAGTGACGTTTCTCCGTAAACCACATGTTCAGCTGCGCATCTACAGTAGCTCCACCCAAAAAGAGGTACCACTCAGTGGAAATGGGCCATAAGTTGTCGAACATCATTGACAGCAAGCAGAGGTTAACTGAACTACAGAAATAACATGGCAAGTACTGATATGAGAAAGCAAGGACCAGGTAGAATGAAAAACAGTAAAGTTCTCAGTGTTCTAAATTATTTTAGTTATTGAGAAAACTGTTCTGATTTTTGCTTTACTTACTTTGATACTGCTAATGCTACAAAATAAGCCTAGCCTATTAAAGTGTGCAAACAAACATTTAACTTGACCTTTATAAATGAGTCATTAAATTTTATTTCCCATACCATATTAAAGTGACATTTTAGTCTTTCTTTTATAAGAATGTAGATGATTTTTCCATTGTAGATGCATCTATATAACTATTTATACTGAACTTCACTTTGAAATACCTTAAAAAGTTCAGATATATTTTGTTATGAACTTTACTTTTTAATTCTCTGTGATACGTAACTGTTGGAGAAACCATTTATTTATTAAAATAATTTACGCATTTACACTATTTCTTTTTTAATTTATCATTATTGATTAGATAGCTAATCTTTTTTAGTTGTCATTTATTCATGTTCACGCTCCTTCTCTAAATGTTTTCACGTAAATGGACTACACTGCCATGTAGTCAAACTGCACTTACCTCGAGAGCATAGAGTGCCACATGTGGATTTTTGTCATTGAGTTTTTTCTTGATGGCACCAATTGCATATTTTGCCCTGGTGGCAGAAAATAAAGAAACAGCATAAAAAAAGTCAAGCCAAAAATCAGATGACGAGCAATGATGACAAAATACATTATCTGTGTATCTTACTGTGTATCGCCTTGGCGAATGAGGTCACAGATCTGCAAAATAGACTCCCAGTCAGTCTCCAGTAGCAGCTGACTGGTGGCTTTCTCTGTAAAGGATTAGAAAAGCACACGAATAACCATCAATAGTGTAAGCAGAACAATCAATACTTTAAAGGTCTGTTGAACGTGAAAAGACAAAGAGAAAAAGAACATGGTTAGGTTTGAATGAACAAAGCAGTAACAAATATGGCTGCACAATATTGGAGAAAAACAAAATCGGACATTGCGATATTTATTATTTCACTATATATTTATATATATATATATACATTTATATATATATATATATATATATATATATATATATATATATATATATATATATATATATATATATATATATATATATATATATATATATATATATATATATATATATATATATATATATATATATATAAATACTATATGAATACAATTTCACCAGATGACTTGTATATCTATTTTTGGAAAGAATTTATCATTTTACATTGACTGAGGAGATTCTATAGGGAAGTGTGTATTCATAAATTATTATAAGCCATCTAAAAGCATGAATAAATAAAATAAATTAAAATATACAATTGAACAAACAATGTTTTATTGTTTTCCCAGGAGTCTAAGGGCTCTATTTTGACGATCCATGTACAAAGTCCAAAGCACAGGCCGCAAAAGCATTAAGGGCATGTCAGAATCCACTTGTTCTATTTTAAGGACGCAAAAAAATTTTTGCGCCACGGCGCATGGTATAACAGGGTTGAGCTTATTCTCTTAATGAGTTATAGGTTTATAGGTGTTTTGAGAATAAACCAATTAGAGTCTCATCTCCCATTTCCTTTAAAAGTCAGTTGCGTCCCGCCATAATGCATTTGCCATTTACATGGCGGACTTCGTAAAGGGAAAAACTGAACGTTCCACTAGTGAGAAACAGAGAATCTACAGCGTGAGAATGAAAGATGAGCCTCCTCATTCTTTACTTTCACTCATTCTTGTGGATAGGAAAACGTGTTGTACGCACAGATATCCATTAGCCTATACATAATTAATTTCGTTAAGCGCAAAGATTTGTTTTAAAACTATTTCTAAATTTTGTTCTAATTAACAGCAAACAAATAAATAAACAATAATAACGAAGTGTGTTCAAAAAACTGAGTCATTTTCAAATACACATGCTAAACCTGACAGGTGGGCAAATTAAAGCTTGTTTTTTAAAAAAAAAAAATATTTATTCATTCATTTTCTGCCGCTTTTCTGGGGCCAGGTCGCAGAGGCAGCAGTCGTAGGAAAGAACTCCAGACTTCTTTCTCCCCAGACACTTGCTCCAGCTCCTAAGGGAGGATCCAAGGGCGTTCTTAGGCCAGCCGAGAGACATAGTTCCTCCAGCGTTTCCTAGGTCTTCCCAGAGGCCTCCTCCTGGTAGGACATGCCTGGAACACCTCCCTAGGTAGGCGTCTAGAAGGCATCCGAAACAGATGCCCGAGCCACCTCAGCTGACTTCTCTCGATGTGGAGGAGTCAATGTACAGATTGACTGGTAAATTTGCCTTTCGGTTCAGCTCCTTCTTCACCACAATGGACCGGTACATTGACTGCATTACTGCTGCACCAATCTGCCTGTCAATCTCATGTTCCATCCTTCCCTTGCTCGTGAATAAAACCAAGATACTTAAACATCCTTCACTTGGCGTAAGGGCTTTCCTTCAACCTAGTGAAGGCAAACCACTTTTTTCCGGTGGAGCACCATGGCCTCGGACTTGGAGGTGCTGATTCTCACCCCAGCCATGTCACACACGGCTGCAAACCGCCCCTGTGCATGCTGAAGGTCCATGTTCGATGAACCCAACAGAACAACATCTTCTGCATGTAACAGAGATGAAATATTGTAGTGTTCGAACCGGACCCCCTCCAGACTAAGGCTGCGCCTTGAAAATCTGTCCATAAAAATAATTAATAGAATTGGTGACAAGGGGCAGCCCTGCCGCAGTCCAACATGCACTGGAAACAAATCTGACTTATTGCCGGCAATGCGAACCAGACTCTTACTCTGTTCATACAAGGACGAGACAATCGTCCTTGTCCTCAACAATTCGCCTCAGACCCCATACTCCCCAAACACTCTCCACAGCAAGCCACAAGGGACACAATAGAATGCCCTCTCCAAGTCCACAAAACAAATGTGGACTGGTTGGGCATACTCCCATGAACCCTTGAGCACCCTGGTGAGGGTATAGAGCTGCTCCAGTGTACCACGGCCCAGACGAAAACTGCATTGTTCCTCCTGGATCCTAGGTTCAACCATTGGCCCGATCCTTCTCTCCAGTACCCTGGCATTGACTTTCCCCGAGAGGCTAAGGAGTGTGATCCCCCTATAGTTGGAACACACCCTCCGATTCCCCTTCATAAAAATGGGAACCACCACCCAAGTTACCCAGTCCAGAGGTACTGTCCCGACCTCCATGCAATGTTGTAAAGATGTGTCAGCCATGACAGCCCCACAATATCCAGAGACTTAAGATACACAGGTAAATCTCATTCACCCCCACTTCTTTGCCACGGCAGAGCTTGCAAACTACTTCAGTGACTTCAGCTTGGGTGATTGATGAGTCAACCTCTGCATCCCAAGTCTCTGCTTCCTCAATGAAAAACATGTCATGGGGTTAAGGAGATCCTCAAAGTATTCCTTCCACCGCTCGACCACATCCCCAGTTGAGGTCAACAGCTCCCCACTTTTGCTGTAAACAGCGTCGATGTTGAACTGCTTTTACCTTCAGAGGCGCAGGACAGTTTGCCAGAATCACTTTGGGGCCGACCGATGTTTCCTCTATGGTCTCCACGAACTCTTCCAATGCCTGAGTTTTTCCTTCCGCAACCGGCTAAAACACGCTTGGCCTGTCGATACCCATCAGCTGTCTCGGGAGTCCTACAAGCCAACCAAGCCCTGTGCATGCCTTACTTCCGATGTCCACCAGCAGGTTCATGGATTGCCGCCCCGACAGGCACCACAGACCTTACAACCACAGCTCCTCATGATCGCGTTAACATTGGAGTCGGAGAACAAGGACCACTCAGTCTCCATGTTTCCAGCCTTCCTCAGGATCTGGTCAAAGCTCTTCCGGAGGTGAGAGTTGAAAATCTATCTGACTTTAGGTTCAGCAAGACGTTCCCAGAGGAGCCTCACACTACGCTTGGGCCTAACAGGACTGTCCAGCTTTCTCCCCGGCCAGCAGATCCAACTCACTACCAGGTGGTGATCAGTTGACAGCCCTGCCCCGCTCTTTACTCGAGTGTCCAAGACATAGGGTCGGAGATCAGGTGATACAACCACAAAGTCGATCATTGACCTGCGCCCTAGGGTGTCCTGGTGCCATGTGCACTGATGGACACCCTTATGCTTGAACATGGTGTTCGTTACGGACAAACTGTGATTAGCAAAGAAGTCTAATAACAAAACACCACTCGGGTTCAGATCAAGGAGGCCGTTCCTCCCAATCACGCCTCTGTGAGTATCATTGTCATTACCCACATGGGCATTGAAGTCCCCCAGTAGAACAATGGTCTGATCACCTTCCAGCACCCCTCCCAAGTACTCCAAGAAGGCCGGGTACTCTGCACTGGTATTTGGCCCGTAGGCACATACCACATAAGAAACTTTAATAAATAATACTGCTACTAACAATAGCATTATACAAAAGCAAATTGTCGTGAATAAACTGAAAAAGCCCCCCAAGATGAGGGCATGAAAGTATGGTTTTTATATTTATGTAGACTAGAAAATAATAATTTTTTATATATTTTAATTCTTTTTCATATGTAAAGATATATGTGTATTGCTGTACTCCCTGTACGTATTAAGCCATGTATCAGCGAGATGCACAAATAACACGCTCTGTGCTGGACTATAGACCTGCTTTGATCTGGTCTATTGAACAGACTATTTTAGTACCTCAAAATAGCAACGCGCCAGCATTGCCCCTTAATACACCTCCTTTTTTTAGACCAGAATGCCTATGGGCACATATATGAACACAAATGCATTTGTTATTTAAACAGCTTGGTGCAAAACGTCAAAACGACTCTTGCACCAAGCTGAAACTAGCAAACAACATTTGCGTCGCGCCTTGCGAGTGTATAATAGGGCCTAAGTCTAATTTAGCACCATCATCACAGTAATATTCACTCAACACGAAGGGATTCGCTCGTGCAAACATATCTAAAAATCTTATTATCCATATCGTTTGCAAATATTTGAGAAATATAGCTAAATTACAACTGGGCCTTTTGTGTTTCTTCTTGAATTCAACTGAATTCAAACTCACATAATGTCATATCCATAACAACACTTTTTCCTCTTAAATGTGAAAATATGGAATAAAATAAGACCAATCATTTTTGTTCTATAGAGAGCCAACTTTTATCCTTTTGATTATCATTGTTTCTATTGGGTTGTGCAGGTTAATTCACAGCATTTATACAAAGTATATTGTATACAGTAAACTCGCAAACTTTTTGTCACATCCATAACACATTATCATTTTTCTCATTTAAAGTACAAAACATGTTCACGGGTTGATTTTTTTTTTGGGTCATTTAACTCTGTGGTGAGTTGTTCTGGGAAATATAAACAGATGTTTCAATATAATGTTAACATATACTTTCTATGCAAATTTATGTTTTGAGTTTTTACTGCAATTGTCTCATCTATAACGCTGAAATTGCTCAAATATTTTCCAACTTGTGTTTAGCGGAAAGATCTTTTTCAAGACATTTTAAGCACAATAGTTTAGGAAGTAATTTCTTATAACTAATTTGCTTTGTATTTTACATTATATTATTTTCTATAAACTTTACAGACTACAAGTAGTCAGCTTAAAGTGCAATTTAACAGCTTAACCAGGTTAGGTAAAAAGGCAAGTTAATAGTTAATGATTTAGCCATTAAATTAAATTCCTTTACTGAGTATTTAAATTTTTTGCAACTTTAACCACATACTATTATTCCATTAGGTTTGATATAGTACGCATTGATGACCTAACTTTACAAACATACAATCTTATAGATGCATAGCAGCATTTGTCATTGGCTTTTTTTGTGGGTTGGGATCTGAATTGATCATGGATCAACTGTGATCCGTTACACCCAAAGTTCTTTGGTGATGTGGGCCTCCACCATCTAATGGATGGTATGATGGCTGCTGTAGCAGTTGAAGATCTGATCGGTTGCTTAAGCTCTTCAAATGGAGCCATCTGGGGCAAGTCAGTCGACTGCATGAGCACATAGGGCATGTATACCAAGATTTGCTGCATTTCTAGTACCCACAACATGTCAAGAATTTATCTAGACAAAATTGACTAATCTGACATAGTGACTGCCTTAACCAACAACAAAAATAGTGTTGTTTGAACAGGCTTTAATAAACTAGACTTTCTCAGACTTCCACAGATGCAAGCCTGATTTCGCAACACTTTCATTTTTCTTGTGTGTTTACTTTGCTGTTGAGTGGAAAGAGTGTAGCGCATATTTCCATATTCATCTAAATGTTGTTTCGGCAGTATACAACATCTGCATGCTTATTATTATTAAGTCACAGCAAATGTATTTGCAGATTTTATCAAGCAATAATTTGCTAGCTGTCAATCACCTAATGGCTACTAGAGTATACATTAAGGGTTTTTGTCTTCTCGATGTAACTTCTTTAAATAAACATCTGACTTAAGGCTAGGTTATACAACAATTAAAAGCTGCATACAGTAGTGTATTTGTCAGTTATTGATAATGTAAAACTTTAAGTTAAAAACTATAACTTTTTTCATGGTGTTTTACAAGTTGTCTGGTTTCCACACTAAATAAATACACTACCTGACAAAAGTCTTGTTGTCAATACTAGTTTTAAGAGCAACAAATAATAACTTGTCTTCTAGTTGATCGTATGGAAAAGTAGCAGAAGGTAGACTGTTCCAATGAATCATTTCTTGAACTACATCCCAATCATCACAAATACTGCAAAAGACCTATTGGAATTAGCATGAACCCAAGATTCTCACAGAAATCTTTCAAGTTTGGTGAAGGAAGAATTATGGTTTGGGGTTACATTAAGTATTGAGGCATACAAGAGATCTGCGGAGTGGATGGCAACATGAACAGCCTGCCCTGAAGTATTAAAACAATGCGCAAAACATTGCGCTGGCCATTAAATTACAAACCACAGAAAAGGGCAAATTCTTCAGCAGGATAGCACTCCTCCTAATACTTCAGCCTCCACATCAAAGTTCAGGAAAGCAAAGAAGCTCAAGGTGCTCCTGGATTGGCCAGCCCAGGCACCAGATATTAACATTATTGAGCATGTCTGTGGTAAGATGGAGGAGGAGGCATTGAAGATGGATCCAAAGAATCTTGATGACCTCTGGGAGTCCTGCAGGAATGCTTTCTCTGCCATTCCAGATGACTTTATTTATATGCTATCTGCGTCATTGCAGAGATGTATAGATGCAGTTGTACAAGCTTATGAGAGTTATAGAGAATATTAATTATTTTTCCACTAGGTGACAGGACTTTTGTCAAGTAGTGTACATCATTTGTATTTATTACTCAATTAATAAAGTGGTTTAAAAGATATGAAGAATATCAGTATTTAAATGACACTTTAAAATGTATTTTGATGTCATAATTTGATTCTTGTTATAAATACTGAGATGCCTAGACTTTTTTGATATATAAGCAATTGTAACGATGAATAAAAATCTAGTGAATGTCTTCTGTAAATCCTTGTAAAAATGTACTACAGTTTTACATTTGTAACTGTAAAGAAAAGGGAAATATAAGACTTTTTGATGCATCATGAACTTCCCTTTAGTCTTTAACGGAGTCAAAAATTGCCTAAAATACGCATAAAGCATCATAAATACAGCCAAAGGTGTTGACAACTTTGTTAATCTTGGAAATGGAGCTGGTTTCTGTAAGAGGAAGCCATTGTTATGCGGTAAACCTGAATGAAAATCGGCCAAAACATCCTCTTCTTTCTACTCCCAATAACGTTTCATAACCATACATGAAGAACCAGTCGTTATTAATAGGAGCATAACGTTACTACTTATACTTAAAATCTCTAAAGTAGGCTTTTCCATAGTGAGTAAACACTAATAACTGTTAGTCATGTCAAACGTCATTACAATGTCCATTTAAATGCCCTGTATAATTACTGAGTTTACAATTAGCATTAGAAAACAAGACCAAAGAGACGATTTGCAGTAAATGCCTACAAACAAACAACACACAGTATTTAAAGGGAGAAACGCATATTATTTGCCATTTTGAAACATTGATTGTTATATTTGTAGAAAAGAAGGCCTTCAGTCCAGACGGGCTTCTAACTAACAGCATACAAACAATAATACATTTTAAAGACATTAACAACACAAATGGTTTAATCGAAAATGGGGGTTTTAATGTCGAGTTTAGGATCGTGTCACTGGTTTGCTGAAGTACCGAAGGAAAAAGTAATGACAATAGACGTCAAATGCTAACATTACCGTTGTGCTAGCGTTAGCATTAGCAGATCTGTCATCTAATCGTAAGCGACGTGTCGGTCTGTCAGTCTACAACAACACTGAAAAATGAAATGTGACACATACCCAATAGTCGCTCAAATGTTCCACCGCCTTTGCCCATGTCTGATCTCTGATATCAGGACGCTCTGTGTTTTTCTGTTGTTCACTTGTGTGAATAAGCGAGTTTCACTGCCGGTGACACGCGCATGCGCGTACATGTCGCAAAAGTCGCGTAAAAGTCTATTTATTTATTATTTACTTTGTGTAATTTTCATCAAATGTTTGTTTAACAAATTGCTACATCCTCATTTAAATACATAAGTATGAAGTATTTTTATTGGTTGTAGTGTAATTTGAATGGCAACCTTTTTGACACATTTTCAGTTTTTTTTTTCATTTAGCCTATAAGAATATATAAACACTTGTTTGTTTGTTTTTTTGTAAGATAATACAGCCCTAGTTTATCAAAATTTCAAGGAAAAAAACATTGTTTTACAAAATAACCAAGGCACTTCAACAATAACATATAAACTTTTATTTTGTGTAAAACAGCAAATCAAAATTACAGAATAAAAATTATTGTAGCATGAAGATTTAGATAAAAAGATTACTGCTTAAAAAAATCAAAAGGTTACAGAAGACAAAACTGAGTAGGAAGTTAAGATGCTTTTGCTATGAATTACTTCAGCACATCTGGACATCTCTCATCTGCTCCTCAAAGGTTTTCTGACTGTAAGTGGGTTTCTTTACAAGAACTGTGTAAAAAGGATTTTCTGGAGAATTTAAATTGATCAGGACAGACTGAAACTGCTTTACCTGTTTACTTTGTGACAGCAGACATTTCACCCTGCAAAAAACAATTTCAGGGAAGGAACAAACACCAACTAATCGTGTTTTGTTTGTTTGTTTGTTTGTTTGTTTGTTTGTTTGTTTGTTTGTTTGTTTGTTTGTTTGTTTGTTTGTTTGTTTTATTTTGTTCTCTTGTGAAAGATTCGTTGAATGCTGGAAAATAATGGCATGTTGCTGAAGAAGTTTTTAATGAAAATATCAAGAGTATTCATGAACACTTCTGATGAGCATTTTTTATGTATCTTGATGATTTTAGGATTGCATTTTTGCATTCTTAAGATAAGCCTATTAAAGTATCCAATTATCAAACCTATTGTTACATAATAGGTATATAAATACTTGACAGCACAAATACTATCTCAAAATATGCTTGTATATGTATTTGGTGAAATTGTTAGTTTTGACTTAAACATTGCTTTATTTATTTTTGACTGTCTCCATCTCCTGAATCAATTTTTCCTTTTTTTTTTTTGTGGTTATTAAGTTAAATAAATATTTGAAACATCTATTTTTGTGCATTATTTGTAATTTCTGTTATATACATTAAAAACATCTTATAACATCAGTTATAATATATATATATATATATATATATATATATATATATATATATATATTAACAATCACTAAACACTGGAAGGCACTAAGGCATGTCATTGTTTTTCAATTTTCATTTTTTTTTTATTAATAACTCTGTTATTGTGATACTTCAAGTGTTTTTTATGTTCACTTCACCATGTTATCTGGTTTGAGGTTAAAAAAAACTGTGGAAGATATCAACAACGTTATTGACTCTTATGGCTTAAAGTGTAACAATAAGTTAAACAACAACTAGTAACATAACTATCAAAGATATTAATGGATTGAGTTTACTGTTTATCATTTCAAATTTATATAAATTACATTTATATTTTTAATTATACAAGTCTTACGGGTGACACAGAAGCGCAGTAGGTGCTGTCGCCTCATAACAAGAAGGTTGCTGGTTCGAACCTCGGCAAGGTCAGTTGGTGATTCTGTGTGGAGTTTGCATGTTCTCCCTGCGTTTGCGTGGGCTTCCTCTGGGTGCTCCGGTTTCCCCCACAGTCCAAAGACATACGGTACAGGTGAATTGGGTAGGCTAAACTGTCTGTATGTGAGTAAATGAGTGTGTATGGATTTTTCCCAGAGATGGGTTGCAGCTGGAAGAGCATCCGCTGCATAAAACACATGCTGGATAAGTTGGCAGTTCAATCCGCTGTGGTGACCCCAGATTAAGGGACTAAGCTGAAATAAATGAATGAATACGTTTAACATCCTTCACCATTATTCACACTTTACCTGCACCTTTACTGACTTCTGCTCACACAAAATGTCTGTTGGTCTTAGTCAATAGACATTATAATAATGTTTCCTATTTTCAAACCTCTTACTGTACATACAGTATGTAAGTACTCTGAAAAACCTTATTCCATCCTGCCATACATTTTTATCTCATGTATAAAAAAAACCCTGGTGCCAGCAGCACTTCTCTTAGGTTCCTTTATCCCTTAAACTCCAGCAAATCATGACAACAATAACTACTTTTCTATATTTTACAACCCCGGATTTTTGTCTGTGGCATTAGGTCATACATGAGTCACTACCTGGCGCAGTAAACAATGCAGCTATTGTGGATGCTGTGCTGGTGGTGCAGCATACAGTGGTATTGTACTGCTGTCTATAGGAGCAGCCCCCATAACAACAGCCAGAGATGCTCAGAGAGTCAAGACAAGACCAGCCAAGAATGTCTTCAACAGCTGGATTGTTTACTTCAGGGTTGAGATTTATCTGAAAGCTGATGTGTTGGATATTCTATAAATCCCAAATTTTGTGAATGACCTTTTATTTCAGTGACCTTTAAAGACCAACTGTTAGAGAATCTGCATTTCTGTTACAGTTTTGAATTAATTAAATGAGCACAATGACATATTAATGTGATTATTCCAGCTAAGACACTGATTTCCCAAGATCTCTAGTCTTATTCAATCTAATTTTAGATAATCTGCTTTGACTGTTTAACACACTCTAAATAAGCTGGATTGCTGGAACCCAAATATTGATAAACCAAAACACTGGAGTAAAAAGTGTAGTTTAAATTTTATTGAAACAACCTAACTTTTTTTTTTTTTTTTTACTTTTTTATAGTTCAATTTTTTTTTGACTGAATTTTGTGCAAAACAAATGTTGATTCAAATTGAATGATGTGCATGCATCCCATTTGTCCTTTTTGTTATTATCATATTTTGTTTAATAATGATCATATTACTTGATCTTTAAAAGGTGACGGGCACTGACATGTCAGTCTCCACTGCAGAGGAGAAATTAGAACTACTAAAAAATACAGGTTAATTAATCAATTTCTTCTAAAATACATGAAAATATGTGACTGTTTAACTGGAAGAAGAATAGCATAAACATTCTAGTGACAAAACTGATAATAATACAGAGCAATGGAATCTCCATAGGCGTCAGCATGTATTTTAAAACCACATATAAATGAATGTTGCTAGTTTTTATGTGTATTATAATATCTGAAATCTAAAATAAACATTTGTTTGAAAACATTGATAATTTTTTTTATTTTTATGACAAGTACCACTAGTGGTTCTTTGGCTCAACTTGAGTCATCACAGGAAAGCAGATTTACATTTAGCAGCTGATTATATGATGCACAGAACACACTAATCACTGCTGTGATTGCATTATCCAGGAACCAGCTTAAAGGGTCACGAAACACCAAAACACATTTTTTGAGCTGTTGACAGTCGTATATTTGTCCCACACTGCTAAAAACACTATTAGGACACCTTTATTTCACTAAAAAGTGTAAATTGGTTGTTTTTGCGCTATTTCAAGCAAATTTGTACTTCCTGTTTGAAACTAATTTTTGAAGCTGCGTCACGGTCATGACATAATAGCGTGTATTCCAGCGTGCAGATTGGGCGTCTGTGCCAGAGTGAGTCTTATTACGTCTTACAGTGTGATGCATTAATGCATGAGTAAGGCTTGGTTCAAACCAATCAGCGCGCTCTATTGTGCAACTTCATTAATATTCATTAGCGTCACCGTGTTTACGCCACAGAGACGCCACGTTGTGTTGGCAAAACAAGCGTGAAGTGTTGCTTTTATAGTTTGCTGCCATTAAGTTTCGTTTTCATTTTCTCTCTGTGAGAGCTCAGCTGGATCACGTGTGGATTAACGGTGTACGCAACGCTCGACAACAATAACTTACGTGTCTAAGGAGGAATATTGTTTACCTGAGAGCTGTTCTCATCTGCAAACGCTGAAATCCGGATTCGCTTGTAACGTTAGTCTGCTCTTCATAAAGACGCGGCTCTAGTTGCTGGTGATTGTCCTGTCTCTACAGATTTGGTAAGTGAGCGACCAGTGCTCTTTGTTTATTCAGTTTGTTCGTATCGAATTAAGTTAACTATTGCACTGAGTGCAAACATAGCACCGCATTTTGTGACCGGAATAACACACGCGGCTTTCTGACGCTACCTGCTGTGTGCATCTAAGTTTCCGGGAAATGCAGAGTTTTTTTCTTCTCTCATTCGCCGTGTGGTATCAAACATTGCATGAAAAATACACGCTTAGAGCAGATCCTCGAATCAAATATCGCGTTTGTCGCGAGGGGCATGAATGAATTCCCTGAATGAAAGAGCCAAACTGCTGTTAAAGTCCAACATTTAATAATTTGGCAAATAATTCGACTACAGATGTCCATGTAGGTTTTGACTGAAACTCGCGCGTGCCCAAATAGACACTCCCACACCATCCCACTTTAGTTCCTCCGACACTCCCCCCTAAACAGAGCTGGACACGCCCACTTTTCTGACTTTTTCCAAAGTAGAGGTGTGAAAACACCCTGCTGAAACGAGGGGGTTTCATGGCCCTTTAAACTTATCACACCTGTGTTATTGTATGCACCAAAGGGTTAAAATGACCTTAATTTCATTTTCATTTCAAAGATAAACAGTTTTATTGGTGCAGACTAATATGATGGCCAGTAAATGATGGCATGACTTTGAAATTTTAAGTGAACTATCCTTTTAAGGATCTAACTTTAATATGTCACACACAATGTCAAACTATGGCCCAATCCCAATTCTAACCCTTACCCCTCCCCCTCGTTTCACACGTTCACGTAAATGGGTAGGGCTTCCCAATTATCTTTATCTTGAAGGCATAGGGCTAAGGGGAAGGGCTAGATAGTGAAATAGTGATTTCCTGAATAAAAATACCTACAAAAAAAAATAGAGGGAGGTCTGGATGCAGACCTGGTGCAGTGCAGTCTGAGCTGAATCCAATGCTTTTTAATGCGCTCACCTAATCCCACCCCTAACCCTACCC